CTGCAAAAAAATGGATTTCGGTTCTGGATCGGGCAAATTACGATTTTGCCCCTGTGGACACCGATGTTGGATTTTGAGGCCATTTGAGGTTATTTTTCGAGGCCGATGCCGTTTTTGGGTGGCCACGCATATCTGGAGTGGTTTCGGACGAAAATTGGAATTTTGGCTCGGAAGTGAAAAATAATATTATTTTATTCCCAGAACTTTGCAGTCGATTTTCGAGGGCTTAAGAGGCTATTTTCACGAATCCGACGCCATATTATGTTGACCACTCACATTTTTGGTTAGTACGGTCGAAAAATGGAATTTCGGCCCGGGGCGGAAAAATTACTATTTTGCCCCTGGACCCGGTACTGGGTATTCCGAATTTTGGACTGGAGAATTGGGAATTATTAAATTAGAATTTCAGCTGCATTATTGGACTTTGGACATTTTTGCCCTTCAATTATTGGATAGAGACAAATAAGGGCCGTCGGATCAAGGGCAAAATGGGAAATCGCGTAGGATCGCGACACGTGGCGCCCTCTAGTCCCCCATTTTTGACCGGTCTGACCTTCTCTCTCTCTCTCCTCCGTCATCTGGCCAGAACCCCCCACGATCAGCCCCTCCTCTCCCATTTTCTCCCTCTTTCTCTCCCAAAATTCTCCCTCTCTTGTTTCCTTGCCGTGATCATCGCCGCTGGGAGGAGCACCGCCGCCATCGTTCGCCGCCGCTGCTACTGCTGCTGCTGGTCCGGCTGTTCCAGCCCCTTGTCCAGCCAGTTTGTCGCGTTTTTCTTAGGTAAGTGTCTCCCCCAAAAACTACCTAGGACCTCGGGTATTGCTAGACGCGGTTAGGACTCGGTTTAGGGGATTTAGAGGTTGATTAAGGCGTTGATAATGGTTATTGGTGGCTGAGTATGGCTGTTAGTGGTTGTTGCGGGTTGGATTAGACATCGGGAAATGAGTTTTGGCGGTTGGAAATCGGTAGAAATCGGTTCGGGTTTGAATCCGTGAGGTTCGGGGTGAATCGCGGATTCACGGTTACTGTACCCGCCCGGTTTGCTATTTTCGTAGAAAATTTTGTGGGCCGAATTTGAGGAAGTTTTCTTCATGAAAGTTGTTCCCAACATCTTGAAGTATAACATATTTTAATTTGGGAATTTTTGGAAATCATTTGATGCCATTCGGAAGTCCATCTTTGGACCGAAATAAAACTGCCCGATTTACTGTTCAACGTTGTGAGTGGTGCGTGTTTCGTCTGGCGGTACGTGAGTGCCTACGTGGGGTTTGGGGTTGTACACTTATTGAGATTCGTCTCATAGTTGTATAATCCACAATTTCAGACCCCCAGTCGTAAATCTGGGAAGTCCGCCTCCTCTTTTTGGAAGTCCGGGGAACTGCCTTTGGTGCCCAGGGGAGCTGCGGGTGAGTTCGTAGGCGATGCCCAAGAGATTTCCGAAGGCTCAAGCCAGAGATTCAAGAGCAGATCGGAAGATGGTGATCAGTAGTTTCCGCCTAGGGTACTTTAGGGGTTGTGTGAAATGAGTTGACCCATAGGGAAGTTAAGTTAACCAGACCCTGATCTTTTATTATGACGGTGATTTCGGATGCTGGTTTGTTGTATATGTGTGTAATATTATGTTTATATATTTGGTGCTGTATGAATATGTGTTATTTGATTATTAGGGTGGTCTTCCCTATTGTCGTCATCTTTCTGTCCGGGGTTTTGTTTTATATATCCGCTTCCGCGTGTGGCTCTGATGTTTGGGTTGGGTCGGCGACGTTCCTGGGACGTCGCATCATTTCGACCGGGCAGGGGATGTCGCGAGCTCGATGGGGTTCGGGGCGTGACAGAAACTGAGTGCAACTTATAGGCTATTGTCACGAGGCGAATAGATTCCTCTTGGTTTACAAATTCATTGGAGGAGGTAGCTTGGAGGATCATCTATTTAAAGGCAGACCCTTGTTGACATGGGAAAGGAGGCGCAACATTGCTCTGAGATTAGCCTCGGTGCTGCACTACCTGCACAAACAATGTCATCAATGCGTGATCCACAGAGATATCAAATCCAGCAACACCATTCTCAATGAAAGGTTTGAGGCCAAATTGGGAGATTTCGGCTTGGCTAGGCTTTTTGACCATGCCAGAGGGCAAAAAACAACCATAATGATAGAAACATGGGGTTATGTGGCTCTAGAATACTGTGAAACAGGTAAGGCAAGTAAGGAATCTGATATCTATAGTTTCGGAGTGGTCCTTTTGGAATTGGTATGTGGGAGGAGAGTCTTCGACTCGGACTAGCAGTGCAAGGCCTAGGCCTTGTACAGTGGGTTTGGAAGCGTTATGGGCGCCGGAGCTGGAGATGGCGCAGCAACTGGAGTAGGCACTGGTGCAAGAATCTTCTCCGTGTGGTGAACGAGAGGCTCGGCAAGGATTTCGACAAGAAACAGGCGGAGGCCTTGATGATTGTGGGGCTGTGGTGTGCTCATCCCATTGCTAGGTCTCGGCCTTCGATTGAAGAGGCAATGGTAGTTTTGAACTTGAGGGCAGAGCCTCGCAAACTCTCCTCGAAGATGCCAAGTTTCAACATATAATTGAGCCGAAGGTCTCGTCTAGATACGTTTGGCTTTAAGCAAATGTCTCCTCTGAAAAGAAATAAATGAAAAATATGGTGCCTCAATGATGTATTTTTTTTTATTTTGTTTGGAAATGATGTCTATTTAAGTGTGATGTATGTGAAAATTACCAAAATAGAGGTCCTTATCGAAAAGCTGTTGTACTCGCCTTTCTCATGCATTACTAGAAGTAATGTTGTACGGTACATAAAATATTTATATAGGCTAGATCATGTCGAACAGTGTCATTGTTGCAATAGAAATTTTACTCTTATGAACAAAATGAAGTGTGTTAGCAAAATAAAGCGCAATTACCAAATGCGAGTTTAAAATGGATTTGAGATCAATATTGCCACCTCTAGTTAAAAATGAATGAAAGCTCTCTAGAAAATCTCCACAAAGTGAATTGGCCAAAATGTAACGTTTATAATTTTCACACCCTAGTAATTTTAATTTTCCGCCCTCCAGGAATATAGCAAATTTGTTTTCTTTGCAACAACCCCCACATAACCAGTTACAAGTAGCTTTTTTTTTGTAGCATTACTATTGTGAAATCTCACTTAATTTTTAGCTCGATTATTCAGTAATTAGCTATCTGTCAAGAGTTAGCTTTGTGATTACGGAATCGCCAAAGAAAACATTATAAATTAAGTCACATGGATGGTTAGATCAGAATTTATATGCATAAAACCATTTGGTTTCTAGTAGAATATCTTTGATTCACCTCACAAGCTGCTTTGAGCAACCAATGGTTTTTCTACTTTCTACGGAGAAAATTACTAATTGATGGCGAAAGCGAAATAGAATAATGTCACGGTCATTCAGTTATGTAGGTACCGCAAAGTCCGCAAATTAGCAGAAGCGGATTGAGAGAGAGAGAGAGAGAGAGTAAGGGAAAAATAAAAAGTTTCAGCTTTGACGTTGCATCATCCTGTAGCAGCGAAGACCGTGGTGGACCAGTTCGCTGCTATGGGGGATTGATACTCCATCCCTCTGACCCATTAGAAATCTCGGTCGCGACCCCCACTGAACTTGCACTGCCCGCGAGTCTCCTCAATTTTTATCGGTAAAAGTACACTAGAAGTGCCATAACTTATGTACGGTGATCACTTTGGTGCCATAACTTTTTTTCGGATCACTTTGGTGCCAAGTCGGAGGAAAAGAGATCACTTAAGTGCCAATTTGGCTGGAAATTCAACGTGGCATTTTTATTAATTTTTTACGCCGACGTGGCTCGCCGGAGGATGAGTCAGCATGTACAGTCAGTATTTTTTATTTTAAATAATTTTTTTCCTTTTTTTTTTCCTCTTCTTTCCTTTTTCCTTTCTTTTCTTTTTTTTCTTTTCTCCCCTCGCCGGCCGGTTGCCGGTGGCCGGCTGGCCACCGGCAAAGCCCAGGTAGGGCTGGGTGAGGGCGGCCTTGCCCATGGATGGTGAGGGATGGCCTCGCCAGATCTGGGCGAGGCGACCCTCGCCGGCGACAGGCGAGGCCGCCCCTCACCGGCCCAGGCGAGGGCTGCCCTCACCGGATCTGGCGAGGGCGACCCTCGCCGCCCGGGCGAGGGCTTCCCTCGCCCGACGCCGGCGAGGTTGCCCTCGCCCGGATCCGGCGAGGGCAACCCTTGCCCGAGTCGGGCGATGGAAGCCCTCGCCCGGCAGGCGGTGGTGGGGCGGCGGCAAGCCCTCGCCTGCTGCTTCCCCTCGCCCAGCCAGGGGCCGGCTGAAGCTTGCCCTCGCCGGCCGTCGGGCGAGGGAAGCCCTTGCTTGGGCGGGCGAGGGAAGCCCTCGCCGGGCGGGCGAGGGTCGCCTCGCCTCGAGTCGGGCATGGGCGACCCTCGCCCGCCCTGTGCGAGGGCTTCGCTCGCCCGACGCCGGCGAGGGTCGCCTCGCTAGATTCGGCGAGGGCAGCCCTTGCCCGGGCCGGCGAGGGGCGGCTCGCCTTGTCGCCGGCGAGGGTCGCCTCGCCCGGATCTGGCGAGGCCGCCCCTCGCCGGCCATGGGCAAGGCCGCCCTCGCCCAGCCCTTCCCGGGCTTCACCGGTGGCCGGCCGGCCACCGGCAACAGGCCGGCGAGGGGAGAAAAGAAAAAAAAGAAAAGAAGGGAAAAAGGGAAGAGGAAAAAAAAAAGGAAAAAAATTATTTAAAATAAAAATGCTGACTGTACAGGCTGGAAAAAAATTATTTAAAATAAAAAAATGCTGACTGTACACGCTGACTCATCCTCCGGCGAGCCACGTCGGCGTCAAAAATTAATAAAAAATGCCACTTCGGATTTCCGGCCAAATTGGCACTTAAGTAATCTTTTTTCGTCCGACTTGGCACCAAAGTGATCCGAAAAAAAGTTATGGCACCAAAGTGATCATCGTACACAAGTTATGGCACTTCTGGTGTACTTTTGCCGATTTTTATCTGCCTCTCATTTCCATCCTATATACATGCGCAACCCTTTCACACTCTCTGTCGTCGAACCCTCATTTCCATTCTTCTTCGTGCGATCCGTTCTCGTTGATCTCCGTGTTCAGTCTCGCCAAGCGATTGTGTGCCCTCCTCAATTGAACCTCGATCCGTTTCGGCTGATTCCGTCTATTCATTCTCTGTAATTAGCGATGGAGGAGGAACTTACGCTCACAGGCCTGTTGAAGAAGGCCGCGTCGGATTTCCCTGATAGGAGAGCCGTCTCCGCCCGCGGCGAGTTTGAGTTCGACCTGACGCATGCTTGGCTGCAGGAGCTCGTCGATCACGCTACCGCGCTCCTTGCTGCCTACGACATCGGCCCCAGCGATGTCGTCGCACTCGCTTTCCCCAACACCGTCGAGGTATGTCCCGTTCATCGAGTCTGTTCACGAGTTACGACGCACGGCATGCCTTTTGTGCGAGTTTTCGTTTTGCGATGATGTGAATTCAAACGCGAAAACTCCGGATGATGCTGTTTAAATTCGAAAATGAAATATCTGGAAGATCACGGTAACAATAACTATTTAATGATGAGATCGATCACTTATGAGAAAGATCGACTAGCAGATAGCTTGAAATAAAAGATGTTCCTTGGTGTTTTACACTACTTCGAGAACAGAGCAACGGAAATATGTGTAAGCATCGATCTATCTTAAAACAAAGTTAAAGCTTATCAAAAGGAGATGGATGGTTTTGATGGAATCAACCAGTGACAAACTAGTTGTCTGCATATTCTGAAAATATGTCTGTCTCAATTCGGCGGGGAGTAGTGTGCTACTTTAATGATTGGAAATATGTGTTTGTTTTTTGCAGTTTGTGATACTGTTTCTGGCGGTAATCCGTTGCCGAGCCGCAGCGGCTCCGCTCGACCCGGCCTACAAGGCTGCGGAGTTTGGGTACTACCTTTCCCACTTGCAATCGAAGCTCCTATTGACACCAAATGAAGGAAACCGACTGGCTCATTCCGCTGCTTCCAAGCTTAACACCCCCCACCTAACCGCCAAACTTCACTCTGCCGATTCCAAAATCGCTCTCTCTTCGACTGACATAGAGCCAGATCTCGACTTGATGTCCAAAGTCATCAATGATCCCTCGGATGTAGCTCTCTACTTGTACGACTGTGACATCCCAGGTCACAATTTCTTGGAGTTAGCTCTGTACTTGCACAACCGCAACATCCCAGCTTTCCGCCAACGCGTGCAGTTTACTCAAAAGGAATTGTCTACAGTTCTGTCTAAAAAGCGTAAATACGCGAAGTCTCCTTATTCTGCTGTGAATCCTGTGATTAAGGATCCATTGCTCCATTATCGACGTATAGTCCTTGACTTGTTGAGCTCTTTAGCTGCCGGGACCGCTGTGGCCCTCCCAGCAGCCACGGCGGCTGCCAGGTCCTCAGCGTCGAGATTTTCGGCAGATAAGGTTGCTAGGGTGCGTTACAGGTCAAAAGTTGCCCGTCCATGTCAGAGCAATGATATGCCAGAAGGAAAGAATGCACCTAAGACCACCGAAGAGAACAAAACCGAGACCAAGAGAGGTGGAGAAGAAGGGAAATTAAAGGACGAGTTGGATCTGACCCAAAAAAAAAAAGAAAAAAAAAGGAAAAGTTGACAAACCTGGGTGGGCCCAAGAAGTACTCCTACGGAGAGTTGAGCAGCGCGACCAATACCTTTGCGAGTGGCCTAAAATTGGGAGAAGGAGGTTCCGGGATCGTGTACAAAGGGCACATAGGAGAAAAACCGGTCGCTGTGAAGAAAATAACATCTGGTTCGCGCCACGGGAGAGAGGAGTATATATCCGAGGTGAAATCGTTGAGCCAACTTGGGCACATAAACTTGGTGCAACTTAAAGGTTATTGCCACGAGGCGAATAAATTCGTCCTGGTTTACGAATTCATTGGAGGAGGTAGCTTGGAGGATCATCTGTTAAAAGGCAGACCCTTGTTGACATGGAAAAGGAGGTACAACATCGCTCTGGGATTAGCCTCGGCGCTACACTACATGCAAAAACAATGTTGTCAATGCGTGATTCATAGGGATATCAAATCCAGCAACGTCATGCTCGACGAAAAGTTCGAGGCCAAATTGGGGGATTTCGGCTTGGCTAAGCTAGTCAACCACACCGGAGACCCAAGCACAACCCGAGTGAAAGGAACACCGGGTTATTGGGCTCCGAAATACTTTCGAACGGGCAAGACAAGTAAGGAATCTGACATCTACAGTTTCGGAGTGGTCCTTTTGGAAATACTATGTGGGAGAAGAGTCTCCGACTCGGAACTAGCAGAACAAGGCGGCCTTGTTCTGTGGGTTTGGAAGCGTAGTGGGTGCAGGAGCTGGTGGAGGCGCCAGTTCTGCAATCTTCACCTTCCAGTGGACGAGAGACTCGGTAAGGATTTCGACAAGAAACAGGCGGCGGCCTTGATGATTGTGGGGCTGTTGTGTGCTCATCCCATTGCTAGGTCTCGGCCTTCGATTGAACAAGTAATGGCCGTTTTGAGCTCGACGGTAGAGCCTCGCAAACTCTCCTCGAAGATGCCAAGTTTCAACATATAATTGACCCGAAGGTCTTGTCTAGATACATTTGGCTTAGTAGCTCATTTTGGTAATTGCTTATTTTGCTTACGCACTTCATTTCATTTATAAGTGTAAAATTCCGATTGCAACTTGAGATCCCTCTTGAAATGACACTGTTTTACATGATTTAATCTAAATAAATATTTTAACTACCATGCAACACTCAGTAATAATGAGAAAGGCAGTACAACAGCTTTTCTATAATGACCTATATTTCGAACAAAATAAAAATAGACATCATTGAGGCACTATTATATCTTTCATCTTCTCTTTTCAGAGCTCGCTTATTTAAATATCTAATCATAATTTTCCATTTTATAGATGTATAATCATAGTTTATCACTTTTAAGGAAAGCTACCGCAAGAACCTAAAGTAATATGCTAGTCTCATCCTCTCGTTCATTACTAGTAGTAATGTTGTGCGGTACTTAAAATATGCTAGATCATGTCGAACAGTGTCATTGTTGCAATCGAAATTTTACTCTTATGAACGAAATGAAGTGCGTTAGCAAAATAAAGCGCAATTACCAAATGCGAGTTTAAAATGGATTTGAGATCAATATTGCCACCTCTAATTAAAAATGAATGAGAGCTCTCTAGAAAATCTCCACAAAGTGAATTGGTCAAAATGTAACGTTTATAATTTTCACACTTTAGTAATTTTAATTTTCTTCCCTCCAGGAGTACAGCAAATTTGTTTTCTTTACAACAACTCCCACATAACCAATTACAGGTAGCTTTTTCATTGCATTACCATCGCGAAATCTCTCTTAATTTTTAGCGTGATTATGCAGTAATTAGCTATCTATCAAGAGTTAGCTTGTGACTACAGATTCGCCAAAGAAAACATTATAAATTAAGTCGCATGGATGGTTAGATAAGAATTTGGTTTCTAGTAGAATATCTTTGATTCACCGCACAAGCTACTTTTCCGCAACCAATGGCTGTTCTGCTCTAGTATCTTCTTCTGTGGAGAAAACTACTAATTGATGGCCAAAGCGAAATAGAGTAATGTCGCGGTCATTCGGTTATGTAGCAACCGCAAAGTCCACAAATTTCCAGAAGCGGATTGAGAGAGAGAGAGAGAGAGAGGGTTGTGTTCAAAGGGAAAATTAAAGAGTTTCAGCTTTGACCTTGCAGCATCCTATAGCAGCGAAGACCATGAGCCCTTTGACCCGTTACAAATCTCAGTCTCGTCGATTTTTATCTGCCTCTCATCTCCAATCCTATATGCGCAACCCTTTCACACTCTCTGTCGTCGAACCCTCGTTTCCAATTCTTCTTCATGCGATCCGTTCTCGTTGATCTTCTAGTTCAGTCTCGTCAAGCGATTATGGGGCTTATATTGAACAGCAATCGGTTTCGGCCGATTCGGTCGATCCGTTATCTGAAATTAGCGATGGGGAAGAAAGTTACACTCACACGCCTGTTGAAGATGGCCGCGACGAATTGCCCCGACTGGACAGCCGTCTCCGCCCGCGGTGGGGAGTTCAACTTTGACCTGACGCGCGCGCGGCTGCAGGAGCTCGTCGATCACGCCGCCGGGCTCCTTGCCGCCTACGGCATCGGCCCCGGCGATGTTGTCGCGCTCGCTTTCCCCTACACCGTCGAGGTATGTCCCGATCATTGAGTCTGTTCACAAGTTACGACACACGGCATGCCTTTTGTGTGAGTTTTCGTTTGAGCGATGATGTGAATTCGAATGGGAAAATTCCGGATGATGCTGTTTAAATTCGAAAATGAAATATATGGAAGATCGCGGTAACGATAACTATTTAATGATGAGATCGATCACTTATGAGAAAGATCGACTAGCAGATAGCTTGAAATAAAAGATGTTCCTTGGTGTTTTACACTACTTCCGAGAACATAGCAACGGAAATATGTAAGCATCGATCTATCTTAAAACAAAGTTAAAGCTTATCAAAAGGAGATGGATGGTTTTGATGGAATCAACCAGTGACAAACTAGTTGTCTGCATATTCTGAAAAATATATGTGTGTATCTCTATTCCGCGGGGACTAGTGTGATACTTTGCTGATTGGAAATATATAGGTTTGTTTTGCAGTTTGTGATCCTGTTTCTGGCGGTCATCCGTTGCCGAGCCGCAGTGGCTCTGCTCAACCCGGCCTACAAGGCTAAGGAGTTTGAGTACCACCTTTCCGACTTGCGATCGAAGCTCCTATTGACACCAAATGAAGGAAACCAACTGGCTCAATCCGCTGCTTCCGAGCTTAACATCCCCCACCTAACCGCCGAGCTTCACTCGGCCAATTCCAAAATCATTCTCTCTTCGACTGACATAGAACCGGATCTCGACTCGATGTCCAAAGTTGTCAACGATCCCTCAGATGTCGCTCTGTACTTGTGCGACTCTGGCATCCCACGTTACAAGTTCTTGGGGGTAGCTCTGTACTTTCGCAACCGTTACATCCCAGCTTTCTGCCGACGCGTGCAGTTTACTCAGAAGGAACTGGCTATAGCGATTGAGTATACGTTTCTCCAGGATCGACATTTAGTCCTTGCATTATTGAGCTCTTTAGCTGCCGGGACTACAGTGGCTGCTAGGTCCTCAGTATCGAGATTTTTGGATAAAATGATGTCAGGCAATGCCACGCGTCACACGGCAGTTGTTGGTCCTGGTGTACGTTACAGGCCAGAAGTTGCCCGTCCAGATTTGCCGGAGGGAAATAATGCACCTACGACAACCGACGAGAACAAAACCGAGACCGAGAGAGGTGGAGAAGAACCGACATTAACGGAAGAGTTGGCAAACCTGGGTGGGACCAAGAAGTTCTCCTATGAAGAGTTGAGGATCGCGACCAATTATTTTGCAAGTGACCAGAAATTGGGAGAAGGAGGTTTCGGGATCGTGTACAAAGGCCACATAGGAGAAGATCGCACACCGGTCGCTGTGAAGAAAATAACATCTGGTGCACGCCAAGGGATAACGGAGTATAAATCCGAGGTGAAATCGTTGAGCCAACTTAGGCACAGGAACTTGGTGCGACTTTTAGGCTGTTGTCACGAGGCGAATAAATTCGTCTTGGTTTACGAATTCGTTGGAGGAGGTAGTTTGTACTATCATCTATTTGAAGGCGGACCCTTGTTGACATGGACAAGGAGGTACAACATTGCTCAGGGATTAGCCTCGGCGCTGTACTACTTGCAAAAACAAGGTCATCAATGCGTGATCCACAGGGATATCAAATCCAACAACGTCATGCTCGACGAAAAGTTCGAGGCCAAATTGGGAGATTTCGGCTTGGCTAAGCTAGTCGACCACACCAGAGACCCAAGCACAACCCTAGTGAAAGGAACGTTGGGTTACTTGGCTCCGGAATACTTTCGAACGGGCAAGGCAAGTAAGGAATCTGACATCTACGGTTTCGGAGTGGTCCTTTTGGAAATATTTTGCGGGAGAAGAGCCTCCGACTCAGAACTGGCAGAACAAGGCGGCCTTGTTCATTGGGCTTGGAAGCGTTGTGGGTGCGGGAGTAGGCAGGGGGGGTGGTTCCAGAATTTTCAACTTCCGGTGGACGAGAAGCTCGGCAACGATTTCGACAAGAAACAGGCGGAGGCCTTGATGATTCTGGGGCTGTTGTGTGCTCATCCCATCGCCAGTTCTCGGCCTTCAATTGAAAAGGTAATGGCTGTTTTGAACTTGACGGCAGAGCCTCCCAAACTCCCCTCAAAGATGCCGAGTTTCAACGTATAATTGAGCCAAAGTTCTCGTCTAGATGCGTTTGGCTTAGTAGCTTATTTCGGTAATTGCTTATTTTGCTTACGCACTTCATTTCCGTTCATAAGAGTGACATTCCGATTGTAACTCGAGATCCCTCTCGAAATGACATTGCTTGGCATGATCCAATCTGAATAAATATTTTAAGTACCGTACGACATTATTATCAGTAATAAATGAGAAAGGCAGCACTACAGCTTTTCGATAATGACCTCTATTTCGGTGATTTGATTTTCATGTACATCTCACTTAAATAGACATCATTGAGGCACTATATCTTTCTTCGTCGTTTGCTGCACTGCATGGGAATCTTTGTTGCTGTCAGGGTGAAAGGAACAGGGAATAGCTATTCCTAAATTCTGAACCAAGCAGTGAAATAATTAATGAGAATAGACTGAAAAATAAAATGGTTATGTGTCGCCATCTTGCGAAAGGGACGAGCCGCAAAATTATACAGAAATGAAGATAGCAGCTCAAAAGATGATAGATGCATGTTTCAAGTAGTTTCGTATGTCTTTGGCAAAAAAGAAAAAGAAAAGTTTTCTCATATTTCCTTTGGATGGTCCACGTAATTCTTTAGTGTCCACGTATTTCAATTTTATTTAAATAATGACACGGTATGTAACAGCCCGAATTTCGATGTAATTCCGGGATCAATAAAATTGACAATATTTCGCATATCATTTTTGTAAGTCTCGCCCGGAGCTGATCACTCTTGGGATACTAACCAATGGGGTATGGTTAACTGGAAACAGTACGTGGACCGGGGACTCGACAGTGAACGGGACACCGATCTCGAGATATGATGAGGGAATATTTTGGGCCAACGTGGACCGATCTTAGGAAAGGTGATGGATTTGGTTTGGCCAAGGCCAACGATGTACTGTCGGATCGCGGTGATTCTGCGCAAGACCGAAAGTGCACGTGACCAACCAGTCCCGAACCCGAACCGAACGATCGCGACCTCTGGAACTAGTGAAAGTGAACTTGAACCCGAACCCGCACTTTGAAGCGGGCTAGAGACAACTTGGGCCAGATCGGTTCTTTGCGCTCATGCACTTTGAAGCAGGCTAGACGCACCGGGCCGTGAAAGTTGTTGACTCGAGTCGTAATGAATAATAAATTGGGCGATTGCCGGTGTGCGTGTGGGCCGTGGGCGGAAAATGCCCGTGACATGTCCACGACATTTGCATGCATGAACATGCATGGGCGGCATGCGAAAGTGTGAGAATCGGTGCATGAGCATGTGATTGGCGTACGTGTGATAATGTGCCACGTATGTGCCGTGATTGTTATATATATATTGAATTGTCTAACCTGCAGGGTCAGAGAATCATTGATTGTTGTTGTGTTATGATTTCTAAGTATTTGTTTCCGGTCGGGAGATTGCATGCTAGCCTAACCTAGGTTTAGGGGTTGAACTCACGAGATTCGTCTCACGGTTGTGTAAACCGAAACTTTTCGACCCCAGCCGTAGGATGCCGAGGACATCACCTCTTTTGGGATACCGCATTTTATCCAGCGGTCGTCAAGCATGCACCCGGTGGAGACGGAGCGAGAAATGAGAAGTGGGCTGTTTGGTTATTCCCATTTGTTGGTGTTTCCTTTTTGGTTGTAGTGAACGCTGTAAAAAGAGTTTTAAAATAGTAATATAAGTATGTACATATTTTCTGCGTTGATCGTTGTTTATTGCTTGGCTATCCTTGGCTCGTATTTTATTATTGTCAGGGTTTGTTTATTTCTTCCGCTTGTGCTTGATCTCTGTTGGGCGTTGGGTCGGCGACATTTCCTGGGACGTCGCAGTTTGTCGACCGAGGTAGGGATGTTGCGTGCCGTGGGGTACGGGGCGTGACACGGTAAATACCTGAATTTTTGTCCATTCTAAAATTGACTGTCCAACTATTATTTTCTGTTCAATCTAGTACTTCAATCTTATAAATTTGTCTCAATGTAAGGCATTCGTTAATTAAATTCACACGTCATGTAATTTTGCTGGCGTGACTCGTTTGCTTGGCAAACGTTAATCAAAATGGTGACGTGGCTCGCTTACTTAGCAAAAAATATGGCATCTCCATTTACAAAAATTTATATATTTTTTAAAAATGATTCAATGTTTGACTATAATTATACATACGGAAGATCAATGGCGGTTGTGATATCCTGAAAATTCGACCAAATTTGGTGATTTATGAAATGGTGATTTCATCGACGCTCTATTAATTAATTCTTGCTTTGGCCCGATCACCCAGGAATACTAACCAAAGTGGAAAGGCTATCGAAGAATTTATTTCTAAAGAACCGCCCGTTAGTTCGAAATAAACTATAGTTGCGATTGATCGATTTCAGCCACGAATTATGATCCGATTTTGCATGTCAAGTGCTCAAGGATATCACACCCAAACTATAGGATGTCGCCTCATAATTTTTATGAATTGGCCATCGAGAATTATTTGCTAACTTGCCCTTCTAGAAACCTCTTTGTTGAATTAAATCTTGGTCGTTGGATGGAACTTGGAGAGTAAGCCTTGATCTTGGCCGTTGGATGGAACTTGGAGAGCAAGGCTTGATCTTAGCCCGCTGATCTTTGCTTGGGCATCAAGAACACATCTGGCAGCCCTGATCTTTGCTTGGGCATCAAGAACAAATCTCAACCATTGATCTTGATTTAAATTTAAACCCTCTTTCTCTCTCTCCTCACTTTCTCTCTTATTCTATCCCTCTCCCTCTCCCTCTCTCTCGGCCGAATCACCCCACCACCGCCATTCACCCACCAGCACCCTCACGCCACCATCCTTGAGCCTCGTAGATCGCCGTGTGCCGTTCACCGCCGTTTGCCGCTTGCCGTGTCAAGCCGAGGCCACCACGGACAACTCGTGTTGTTGCCGTCGTCCTTGTGCTGTCGTCGTTTTTAGACGAGTAAGTTAGCATCTAATCCCTTGTTTAGGATGTTTAACTTGCGTAGGGTAGTTTGGCTAGTTATTGTTTTAGTGTGTTTGAACTTCTAAAATGAGTGTTCGCGAGTCTTGATTGCTAGACTAAGTCGAAATAGATGTTGGATGTTGATTTGAACTCTTGGTGTGGTATTTTCATGGCTGAGAAGTGGGGGATCTCAAAGTTGAAGGCGTTTCTTGGAGTTTTTATCTTGATTTCAGAACTGATTTTTCTGTACGTCCCTGGTTTTCCATTTTTATAGAGCATTTCGTGGTTAGAATCTTGAAAAGTGTTCTTCATAAAAGTTGCTCACAAGGTCTTGATCTATGACATACTTAAATTTCAGATTTTTATGAGCTCAAATGGGTTACACGAAGGTCCAATTTCTTACCGAATCAGAACTGTTTTATACTGTGGATTCCGTGACCTTCGTGCCTTCTCAGATTTTTATAAAAATTTTCAGTTCGATTTCGACCGTACTTCCTTCACAAGATTTGTAAACAAAATCCATGTCTACAACGAATAAAAATTTCAAAGTGTTTTGAAAGGATTTGGCTTGCAAAACGAGTATTTCTTGTGGTTCAGTTTCCCTGTTCCGGTGGACCAGTTCTGGGTTGTTTCCGAGCCATTAAAAGTGATCTTTGTATAAGGATTTTGGGGGTTGTACTTTTCATGGAAAATATTTGTGAAGGTCTTGTTTATAACATATTCGAATTTTATAATTTTTGGAAACCATTTGCTATGCTTTTGAAGTTGATTTCCCAAATCATGCAAATCTGTCCAGTTTTACTAGAATTCCATAATTTGCCGGTCTTTACTTGAAATCTTTGGCTTTCGATTTCCGGCCTAATAGAGACAGTAACCACAATTACCTAGCTTTTCAATAATGTTTATTTCGCTGTGATCCGATGTTGAATGCTTTTGTAAATTCATGTTTTAAAATGAGGTTCACAAAGTCGATTGACCGTTTGCATGTGTGACCACTTGTTATTGTTGTGTGGCATTGATGTGAGCATGATTCATGGATGCATTGGCTAAATGAAAAGATAAGAATTGGCTTGAATGCTTGTGTGCTCGTGTGGTCACGCGTTGAGCCGTCTTGCCGTAGATCGCTTGACAATGCCTAATTTATCGGGGTCTTGCTGTAGATCACTTGACAATACTCGATTTATCGGATGCCTGGAGATTATCTGGATTGCCGATACTCCGGATGCCTTGTCGCAGCTCGAGGCCGGACTCGATGCTCCCTACGGGATACCATCTTGCGTAGATCGTTTGATGTTGCCGTATTGGGAACGCCGTCTTACGTAGATCATTTGATGATACCGTGCCCAACGGGGTGGGACGATGCTCGGGTAGATCCGGAAGACTGCCATCTTGCTGCAGATCGCTTGATGTGTAGTGGCCCCGAGGGGGCGTAATAAATTGAATACGTGTGATGCATAGTGCTTGACTATGGGGTAGAAACTACTAGGCATGGTATGGGACATGCCCAAGTGGATTTTACCTTATAATCGAGACATGCGCGACTGTGATGCATTGATGCATGGGAAATCTCATTACACGTTCTGGGTATGTGATATGTTTGATGCATTGTTGTGACATATGACTATCTATGTTATGCATAATACGTGTGCCAAGGCAAGGTAAGGATACCTATGGTTGGTTAATGATTTGTGACCAGTGCATGATCGTGTGATTAGGGACCCCCGAGGTGAGTTGACCTTCTAAACGGGGCTTAGGCGTTAACTTATTGAGATTTTTATCTCATTTGTGGTTGTTAAACATTTTTCAGGCCCTTAGCATGTTGATGCACCCAGTATGGTTTGGGGTGCCTGGAAGCTGACTTTTGGTGAAGTAGATTGACCCTAGCCTGACATCTTTTTGTAGACTTTTATGGAAATGCCTTAAGTGGGCTTGTAAAAATGTTCCCAGGGGTTAATCAAGTAAATGTTAAAATGGTGTTTTGATTTCAATGTTGTAAACCGTTTTCCTATCTATCCTTGTTTATTGTTATTGTCTGGGTGAATCTTTGTTTAACTTCCGCATGCGTAATCAAAAGGTAAAATGTTGAGTCGGGCGACGCATCCTGGGACGTCGCATCATAATGACCATTGCGGGGATGTTGCGCGCTCGCAGGGTTCGGGGCGTGACAGCGGTGGACCTTTTTTTGCAGATGCTGAGCATCTCGAGCGGGGACGAGGATTCTGCTAAGGATCATGCGGGTTCGAGGGCCAGAGGTGGCGCGAGTGGTGGTTCGAGGCCCGGGAGGGACGACAACAGAGCGTGGGATGGCGAAGAACCTGATTGCTGGAGGCGCGTGGACGAAGACGAGGTGAGTTCGAGATGGTAAACCTAAGGAGAAAGGGAGAAGTTTCAGAGCACGACAAGAACGAGGGACTGGAGGAGGGTCTTCCATGTCCGCCGGTTCCAGGGTATGTCCGAAGTCAACGTCTCTCTCTCTCTCTCTTCGCAAAACCCTTGTTAGTTTTCATCACTGTTACGCCCTTGCACAATCTGAACTTCATGCGCTGCGTTAAGGGGAGAAGAAGAAGAGAGATTGATTATTGAAGCTCGATTGAGGGAGAAAGAGAAATAGAAAGGATAGTCTTTGGGTGTGGAAATATTACATTTTCTTGTTTTTTCGTTGACCCTTTTTCTTATCGTTGTCGTTGTGATCGATAGAGAGTAGCGAGAACAAGAAAGATGGTGTTGGTGTCGGCATTGGGGGATCTGCACATACCGCACAAGGCGCCTGATCTGCCCACCAAGTTCAAGTCCATGCTCGTCCCTGGCAAGATCCAAGACATCATCTCGCACCGGCAATTTATGCATCAAAGTGGGTCCCTTTATCCTTCTCTTGTTGTTGTTGTTGTTGATTGAATTCCCCGACCCATTTGCGATCGTGATCTTATTTGGATTTCTTTTAGCAATTTCGCGTTGCTCGGTCGATGTTGTCTTTGTTTTCTTTTTCGTTTTTGGTCAGCAGCTCCCATGAGGTGATGTAGCGATGGCATTTTTTGATTCATTGTTGTTTTCGTTTGATGTCATTTTAGTCTATGCCCTCTAGCATATTGTGGGGATTTTTTGTTTTGGTAGGGGGGTTGGGGGTTACAAGCATTGTTCTGTCGGTGATTTTTCCTTTCCTTATTTTTGGCCTCACTTATGGGGTCTTACCTTGCGGCTCATGGATGTAGTTGAAAGTTTTGTTTGAATCACTAGATTGGTGTATTCTTGGCACTCCGCGGTTTAGCCTTTTTTCTGAGAGAGGAGGCTTTTAGATTGTTGACCTTAAGTGCCCCATTGTGCAATTCTGGTTGTCTCGCAAATTTCTTTGATTTGTGGAAATTGACAATGTTCTTCGTCACTTTTGTTGTGCGATTCTTTGTGTCAAGGTTTCTTGCTTGTGTTGCAAATGACAGTTCACTTACATGCGAGTTGCAAGTAGAGCTCTGTTGGGCATGCTATATGATAGGAATGTGTCTTATCTCATATCCTCCATTGTTTCCACCGAATTCTAATAAAATAACACTTTGGAAAGAACGGTCTTAGGTGTCTTGCCTGTAGTATGAAGGATTCTTGCGATTATTTTCGTTTTGTTTAATTCAAAACGAAATTAAAAAAGAACCTTGTTAGAGCATTATTCATATGATGCTCTAACTTTTAGATGTGCTAACTTTTAGATGCGAAACGTTTAATATGGACAGAAAAGATAAATGCGAAACACTTGAATGTTTCATATGTACACATCTAACTATCTCATGTATCCAGCTATTGCATCGCCACTGTCATTGATGTACGCAATTAAGCCCAATCTCTTAGGATGGTTGAATCAAGCATGGACTTCTTGTTAAGCACGTGTGACCTAATGTTTCAGCTATGTTAGGTTTATACTTTGTATTCTCTAGGCCTCGCACAATGGGCTAGAGTTTTAGATACCAGGTCACCAAATCTGAAAATAGCCCAAAAAAAAAATCCCTCCACACCGTTATGATGCATCGTAAAATTATAATTGTAGGGGGAAAAAAAACCAATACTTTGCATCATCTATCGTTATAGTTATCTTAAATTTCAGGGGTAAAGCGCATGGTTTTTTAAGACTCGTGAGTCATGGAAAAACGTACATAGTTTAAAGGAGAACTTATGCGATCTTTTCAAATTTAGGGGATAGAGGGCACGTATTTGTCCCAAAAACTATCAATCTGTATATGTTATCTTTTGAGTTCTTATGTCGGTTGACGTAAAAGCAGACAAAGTTCTGAGAACATAACGAAGTGAAAGTTTAGGAGCGACGATTGAAAGTTCACAACAAAATGCATATCACTACCGGAATTTAGAGGGCTTGTATAATTTTCCCTTAATTAAAAACGGAGATAAAGGATGTAAAGTGCAGCATATAATGAAATTGTTGGGGAAGAAACTATGAAATAAAAGTAGTATGGGTACTAAATTGAGCCGGACTATCGAAAATGGTGGGTTTCGTGTTCGTTTGACTCATGTGGGACTCATCAATCTGATGATTTAAATTCAGTTTAGTACATGCATTAGATATACTTAATTATTTTCCGGCGAGAGATATTCTCGTCATCGTCCTCGTCCTCATCACATGGACTATTTTCTGCAATTAAGGAGGACAAAACAAAGTAGGAAAAGAATAACAAATCAAACCGTGGAAATTCGTCCGACGATGCCGCTCGTCCGATCGTTGACTTTTCTTTTTTTTTTTTTTTTTTATGACCCAGGGAATTCTTTATTCCCACGTAACCCAAGTTTAATCGCACGAGCCAAGAATTTTCCCTTTCTAAAAAAAAAAAAAGACAGTTAGTCTGTTGATATTTTATAAAATATTTGAAATGTTAAGTTGCTTCTACGTGTACTACGCCTCCAATATTTCATCTTTTAGGTTCGATTTCTTTCCTTTTTTTAAAAAAAATAAAGTGAGGAAACCGCAAATTCCGAATCCATAAAATATCTGACTAATCTCAACAATTAGATAAGACATGGGTCAAAACACCATATGGGTGACCTGAACACGAGGAATTGCATGCAATATTTTATGCAATCAATTGTGATATTATTCCTGAAATGGTAGGTCTTCGTCGGTTGTGCCCTGAAGCAAGAAGTTTAATGGTAATATTATTCCTGAAATTTTATAAAGCTACTTCATTATAAGTTACATTAGGTCAATAATTTACTGCCGTCCTCGTCCTTCGTGCCCTAGCACATTCATGTTTTAATTCTTATTAATTTGTACTAACATCAAAATATATCATCTACAACTTTGGTTAAACAATTTTAATCATTGACTTATGGAAAAAGTGTCAATCGATGTTAATATATAGATTAAGCGTAGATCTGATCATAAAATTCACATTTTGCAGGCACACCGATAAAATGGGTGGATTTGACTGAATATATTGTGCTTGTTGGCAGGCTCGAACCGTACATTCTAGGACCTCGTCAGTGAGTGGGCTTGGCCTAAGCGAGGGCTTTGAGGATCGGCCCCGTCAGCCCATAAATTATTAAAAATTTACATTGATAAATATTTATTTTAATATATCTACCTTGAAAAACAAACTTTATAGATATTGGAAGAGAAAACGATGCTTAAAACAGAAAAAGAAAAGTGTTTTATGACACACTTAAAGTACAGTACCACAAAATTATGGAATTGCTTTCTATTTAAAATTCCGTTTTAACTATTATTTAACTCAGTTGTTTTTTCTTTAAAAAGTTAGACATAGCCCATGTGATTGGGCCAATAAATTCCAGAGGGTGAGCTTGGCATTTGCCAAAACCCACCAAATTGGGTTTGGACATGGCCCTTAGAAATTCGAACCGAACCTGTCCAGTGGTCAGGTCTAATTAAGTGTATCTTATCACATCATATTCAGATATGTTTTCCTTTATATATGATGTTTTAGCGTTCAAATCATTTGAAATTGCCACCACCAGCTCTAGAATGGATAGGATGAGGTTCAATGACCATAATTGACTTGGGGATTGGGACTAGACGCCCCTTAATTCCCTCCATCGTAGGGCAAGGCGTGAGCTCATCCTCCTTATCTATTATTTAGCTCAACTATTTTTTTTCTTTAGAAAGTAAGACATTATCCATGTGATTGGAAATTGCCACTACTAGCTTTAAGAATGGATGGGACAAGGTCCATTGACCATAATTGACTTGGGGATTGGGACTAGACGCCCTTAATTCCCTCCATCGTAGGGCAAGGAGTGAGATTCTTTTTATCTATTATTTAGCTCAGAATGATGCTGCTTACGAGGTGATGTGGGAAAGTTATGAGCAATCTCTGTTCCACTCCTGGCAATTTACGATGTGAATAAATCTCCCGAGAAAGTTCCTAGCAATCTCGTTTTGCCTGAACTCTACTTTTGTTAACCTTAAACGACCTATTCTTAAAATTTCAGAAACTCCGTATTCCACCCGGCCACCGAATATGAGTTTAAAATGGATTTGAGACCAATATTACCACCTCTAGTTAAAAATGAATAAGAGCTCCCTGAAAATCTTTACAAGTGAATTGGTCATAATGTACTGTTTATAACTTTCACAGCCTACTAATTTTAATTTTCTTCCCTCCAGGAGTACATCAAATTGTTTTATTTAACAACCCCCATATAACCAATTACAAATAACTTTTTTTTTGTAGCATTACTATCACGAAATCTCACTTGTTTTTTAGGGCAATTATACAGTAATTAGCTATCTATCAGGAGTTAGCTTATGATTACAAATTCGACAAAGAAAACATTATCAGTTAAGTCGCACGGATGTTTAGATCAGAATTTATATGCATCAAAAGAATTTGGTTTCTAGTAGAATATCTTTGATTCACCGCACAAGCTGCTTTGAGCAACCGATGGCTTTTCTACTTTCTATGGAGAAAATTACTAATTGATGGCCAAAGCGAAATAGAATAATGTCACGGTCATTCAGTTATGTAGGTACCGCAAAGTCCACAAACTACCATGGTGGACTAGTCCGCTGCGATGATACTCCATCCCTTTCACCCATTAGAAATCTCGGTCGCGACCGCCACCGAACTCGCACTGCCCGCGAGTCTCCTCGATTTTTATCTGTCTCTCATTTCCATCCTACCCACACGCGCAACCCTCTTCACTCTCTGTCGTCGAACCCTCGTTTCCATTCTTCTTCGTGCGATCCGTTCTCGTTGATCTTCGTGTTCAGTCTCGCCAAGCGATTCTGGTGCGCCTCCTCAATTGAACCACGATCCGTATTGGCCGATTCCGTCCATCCGTTCTCTGTAGTTAGCGATGGAGGAGGAACTTACGCTCACAGGCCTGTTGAAGAAAGCCGCGTCGGATTTCCCCGACAGGAGAGCCATCTCCGACCCCTGGGAGTTCGAGTTCAACCTGACGCGCGCACGGCTGCAGGAGCTTGTTGATCACGCCGCCGCGCTTCTTGCCGCCTACGGCGTCGGCCCCGGCGATGTCGTCGCGCTCGCTTTGCCCAACATCGTCGAGGTATGTCCCGATCATCGAGTCTGTTCACGAGTTACGACGCACGGCATGCCTTTTGTGCGAGTTTTCGTTTGAGCGATGATGTGAATTCAAACGCGAAAATTCCGGATGATGCTATTTAAATTCGAAAATGAAATATCTGGAAGATCGCGGTAACGATAACTATTTAATGATGAGATCGATCCCTTATGAGAAAGATCGACTAGCAGATAGCTTGAAATAAAAGATGTTCCTTGGTGTTTTGCGCTACTTCGAGAACAGAGCAACGGAAATATGTGTAAGCATCGATCTATCTTAAAACAAAGTTAAAGCTTATCAAAGGAGATGGATGGTTTTAACGGAATCAAAGTTAACGTAGTTTCGACTTTTGTACTATTCATTTAGTTATGAACTTTATAAAAAAATGTGGATTGGTTTTGGCTATATTAAATAAATTGAAAGTTTAATCAACTAAGAATCGACCAGTGACAAACTAGTTGTCTGCATATTCTGAAAATATATGTGTATCTCTATTCCGCGGGGACTAGTGTGATACTTTGGTGATTGGAAATATATGTTTGTTTTGCAGTTTGTGATCCTGTTTCTGGCGGTAATCCGTTGCCGAGCCATAGCGGCTCTGCTCGACGTGGCCTACAAGGCTACGGAGTTTGAGTACTACCTTTCTGACTTGCAACCGACGCTCCTATTGACACCAAATGAAGGAAACCGACTGGCTCAATCCGCTGCTTCCAAGCTTAACATCCCCCACCTAACCGCCAAGCTTCACTCCGCCAATTCCAGAATCACTCTCTCTTCGACTGACATACGACCGAATCTCAACTTGGTGTCCAAAGTCATCAATGATCCCTCTGATGTGGCTCTGTACTTGTACGACTGGGACATCCCAGGTCACAATTTCTCGGAGGTAGCTCTGTACTTGCACAACCGCGCATCCCAGCTTTCAGCCAACGCGTGATGTTTACTCAGAAGGAATTGGCTACAGTGGTTCTGTCTAAAAAGCGTAAATACGCAAAGTCTCCTGATTCTACTGTGATTGAGTATCCATGGCTCCATTATCGACATTTAGCTCTTGAATTGTTGAACTCTTTAGCTGCCGGGACTGTTGCGGCCCTCCCGGCGGCCACGGCGGCTGCGAGGTCCTCAGCATCGAGATTTTTGGCAGATACGTTTTCAAGCAGTGCCACGCGTCACAGGGCAGATGATGTTGCTTGTGTACGTTACAGGTCAAAAGTTGCCTGTCCATATCAGAGCAATGATATGCCAGAGGGAAATAATGCACCTAAGACCACCGAAGAGAACAAAGCCAAGACCGAGAGAGGTGGAGAAGAAGGCGGCCGTTGCGCGAAATTAATCGAAGAGTTTGAAAAGTTGAGTGGACCGAAGAAGTTCTCCTATGAAGAGTCGATGATCGCTACCGATTCTTTTGCACACGACAGGATTCTGGGAGGAGGAGGTTTTGGCGATAATGTTGCTTGTGTACGTTTAAAAGTTGCCCGTCCATGCAGACAATGATATGCAGGATTTGGGAAAAGAGGTTTTGGCGACAATGTTGCTTGTGTACGTTCAAAAGTTGCCCGTCCATACCGGAGCAATGATATGCCAGAGGGAAAGAATGCACCTAAGACCACCGAAGAGAACAAAACTGAGACCAAGAGAAGTGGAGAAGAAGGGAAATTAAAGGAAGAGTTGGATCTGATCCAAAAAAAAAATAAAGAAGAGGAAGAGTTGACAAACCTGGGTGGGCCCAAGAAGTACTCCTATGGAGAGTTGAGCAGCGCGACCAATTCATTTGCAAGTGGCCTGAAATTGGGAGGAGGAGGCTTCGGGATCGTGTACAAAGGGTACATAGGAGAAGATCGCACACCGGTAGCTGTGAAGAAAATAAGATATGGTTCACGCCAAGGGAGAGAGGAGTATATATCCGAGGTGAAATCGTTGAGCCAACTTGGGCACATACACTTGGTGCAACTTAAAGGCTATTGTCACGAGGCGAATAAATTCGTCCTGGTTTACGAATTCATGAGACAAGGTAGCTTGGCGGATCACCTGTTTGAAGACAAACCCTTGTTGACATGGGAAAGGAGGTACAACATCGCTCTGGGATTAGCCAAGGCGCTGCACTACCTGCACAAACAATTTCGTCAATGCGTAATCCACAGGGATATCAAATCCGACAACGTCATGCTCGATGAAAAGTTCGAGGCCAAATTGGGAGATTTTGGCTTGGCTAAGCTAGTCGACCACACCAGAGACCCAAGCACAACCCAAGTGAAAGGAACACTGGGTTACTTGGCTCCGGAATACTTTCGAACGGGCAAGGCAAGTAAAGAATCTGACATCTACAGTTTCGGAGTTGTCCTATTGGAAATATTATGTGGGAGAAAAGCCTCTGACTTGATTCTAGCAGAACAAGGCGGTCTTGTTCTATGGGTTTGGAAGCGTAGTGGGTGCAGGAGCTGGTGGGGGCGCCGGTTCTGGAATCTTCACCTTCCGGTGGATGAGAGGCTCGGGAAGGATTTCGACAAAAAACAGGCGGAGGCCTTGATGATTGTGGGGCTGTGTTGTGCACATCCCTTTGCTAGGTCTCGGCCTTCGATTGAAGAGGCAATGGCCGTTTTGAACTTGACGTTAGAGCCTCGCAAACTCTTCTTGAAGATGCCAAGTTTCAACATATAATTGACCCAAAGGTCTCGTCTAAATACATTTGGCTTAGTAGCTGATTTTGGTAATGCACTTCATTTTGTTCATTAGTGTAAAATTCTAATTGCAACTCAAGGTCCTTTTTGAAATGACACTATTTGGCATGATTTAATCTAAATAAACATTTTAACTACCGTACAACACTCAATAATAAATGAGAAAGGCAGTACACCAGCTTTTTGATAACGACCTCTATTTCCAACAAAATAAAAATAGACATCATTGAGGCACTATTATGTCTTTCTTCTTCTCTTTTCAGAGTCCACTCATTTAAATATCTAATCATAACTTTTCCATTTTATAGATGTATAATCGTAGTTTGTCACTTTTAAGGAAAACTACTGCAAGTACCTAAAGTAATATGCTAGTTTCATCCTCTCCTTCTAAAAATCAATTTGTTTGCCATCGTGAATCAATTTACGAAAATGGCTTTACGGACAACTCGTGGATAACGAAGCTGACTAGTATAGCGATATTTGATGATTCTGGATCTTCTCTAGTCGCCTAAAACTCGTGTCATGGAATATCCAAGTCAAAAAAAATTGAGACTGGCCTAAATTCCAAGAAACGGGAGACCAGGGTCATCGGGCCCAAAGCCCATCCCGCTTGGCCTGCCACTGCCTGTGCCGGTGAAGAGCGAGTCGACGGAGGCGCTTGGCGGGAGGGGCGAGGGCGGGGGGCAGCTGGAAATGGCAGCCGCGGCTGGCCGTTGCACTGATTTTTTTCAGTACAGAATGATAAGTAGGTGGGGACTGTCCTGTTTGTGTGAATTCTGAATCAGCAAATTGATAGAGTGGATAGTATAAATCACCAGCACCTGAACATATGAACGCATGAAACTTTGGTTTTGTGGAAATGTAAAAGAAGAAAGGCAGTATGAAGTAAGGACAATTCTACACTTGAGGATATGGTGGTTTGTTCGTCTATGATGATCTTTTTCTGTAAATAAGCTAGAATAAGGCTTTGTTTGTTTCACAGAAAATGAATGATTTGGAAAATTAATCTCTTGTATCGCTTATAAAAGTAAATGAACGGGTAATATTTTCGACATCCGTGAAAATGTTCCGACATAAATTGTTGTCAGTGATGAAAACATTTTTAATTGACTGACTATGGCTACACTTAACGCCCATGACAAAGGCAATCAAGTTTACCTCATCCGACTGCGTCTCCACCAATATCAGTTGATGGTTTGGTCCTGAAGGATGTCATGATAACAATATACATACTTACTCCCTCAATGGGTTATAATCATAGCGACATGAGCATAATCCATCAATCTCAATCTTCAATAACCCACAACAAAACCAGAAACCATCTCAAAACTCAGGTTTACAAACCAAATCATGTAACTTTTCACGATTCAATATAAATCAAAGTACATTTCATAAACCGTATTTATAAATCATGATCATTTCGTGATTCTTTCATAAAAGGTTTCATAAACTATTTACAAGCAATCAACTCAAACTGTAATCAACGGATACTTTTCCATTTCTAACGAATGGAATAATAGTAAATGCTTGATCCAGATTTTATGCATTGAACATGCCATTTAAGTCATAGTATATTCAATATATATCACTTTCGAAATATGAGCTTACAAACTCAAAGAAGAGATAGTACTACTCACCTAGGAAAGCTGAAAACCTACATACGATGATTACTCGAGCCGAAAGACTCGAATTCCTATCAATTGATCGAAAAACGATATCAAAATCCGAGTGAAACTCTACCTTAACCAACGACTCGACTTATGCAACATCCTCACCTCGGGGTTATTAATGCGACGTTCTAAGCGCGTCGCCGTCATGTTTCTTTTATCTTCTCATTAAGAGCATGACGTCCCATTCGTTATTATCTTTCGTTACGAACAAGCGGATACATAAACTCGGGACAATCAAACAAACAACGGGGTTAAGACAAGCACCATGAGCAAACCTTATATTTACAGGATGACTTATATATTACATGAGTGTATTCTACATGCCCTTTTCTATGGGCCTTTTTCCCTTTTCAACACACTACATGCATCCACGTAAGCTGGGGGAAATTCCGATCTTCTCTAGCATGACCACAGCTCTCAAAACTGATGTGAGATTTCCATGCTTACAAATATGAAAAACAACGGAGTGAGTCGAGGACTCAGTAAGTAAAACTCACTAAACTCCGGATAGAATGACACATCGCCATCGAACAAAGCACATGTCATAACCACATCAATTGATAGCAGATCAATTGCAAAGGTGCTTCAAATACACTCGTTTTTGTGCATAAGATGATCGCAACTTGCCTTTCTATTCAATAACATCACAATCAAGAGCGTGCACACTAGGGAATCTTTGTCTGAACAGTTGGTACGGTTCTTCCCGAAATTCTCCGGGCAACGTCCCCTAATCCAAGGGTGACGGTTTTTCATCTGAACTTAATCAGGCAACGTCCCATATCAAGGGCGACGACTATTCATTCGAACTTAATAGGGCAATGTCCTCTAATCAAGGGCGACGGTTATATTTTCCCTCGTGCGACCATCATAACAACTTGAGTACTTCACGCAAAGTGTGTATCATACCATGTTGCCTCTAAAGTCTTAAGTCATACCGGGCATGAAACCAAGTTCATGACCCGGACCGACCGGTCATGGAGCCAACCTACACCAAGCAAGGCTTAGATCGGTACTCCTCGATACGGACCCTCCAAGCAAGGCTTGTTCCGACACGTCTCAACACCGATTCGAACCAAGCGAGACTCGTTCATGGCTTGGGGCATGCTCTTAAGCATGATGCCAAACACATGAGCAAACCTTACAAATGTAAATGCAAGCATGGCTAGCTATATCAAGTGTTCACAAACCACGGAATTCATGCAAGCACCACAAGCACATGATTCGCCCAACAATGCAACACGACACCCTAGCAAGGTTTAGTAAGTCTACTTACAACCCTCCAAGGTCGTGGCCGGTGGTGGCCTAGTGGTGAGCCGAGCAACAAGGGCACGGCAAGGACACAACACGGCACGGGCACGGGCGCGGCAAGGGCACGACCGAGAAAGAGAGGGCAGCCAAGAGAGAGTGAGGGCGTGAGGGAGAGAGGGAGAGGAAAGTGAGCCAAAGGTGAAGAATGAGGGAAGGATGCATCTATTTATAGGCCATCTTGCTAACTTGCTAGAGAAGTTATCCAGCTTACAAGATAAGTTAGTCAAGCCAACTTGCAAGATAAGTTTCTAATAAAGCCATTGACTTGACTAAATCAACTTGTCTTCTTGTCTCAAGAAGCATTCTAGACGTGAACCATGTGGCCTTATCCATAGGACTCAACAATTTGGGTCCTTGCTAATTCTAATGGTACATCTTCCTTTGAACACCCAATTTTCACTAAAACTTGATTTAATAAGGAACTAAGGTAATTAGGAGTTTTCAAGTGCCATAAACGATTGGCCATCCTATTTGGAAATGAGGTTTGATGTAAAAATATGCCCTAATATGTTTGGACACAACAGAGCCAAAGACTGGGCTGAACGGCACAAGGCCGAACTAGCAAAAATCATCTTCGCACATGGCTTGGTCGGTCGGGCCTGACCGAGCATAGGACCTGGTACATGGCTGAGCCACTTGGGCATAAGGCTGGGCTCACGGCCGGGCCATACGGGTACCGGGCCTACTGCACTGTCACAGAGCCAAGTGCATGGGCACGGGATTAGGATGCATGAACGGTGCGCCGACGCAAGGCCGTGCCACATGGATAATGTGCCGAGCGTATGGACAGGACACACGGACGAGGGATTGATTCATGGATTGGACGCATGCATCGGCTCATGGGCGGTACAATGCACGGCCCGTGGCTAGGTTTGATTGGCACGGGACTAAGTCTGGGCCGGAACCAATGGGCACAAGGGTCAGGCACAATGGTCGGCACACAGACGGGTACAAGGCCGGCCCGTGGCCTAACCGACAGGCACACGGCTGGTCCACAGCTGGGCGCATGGCCTATCCATGGCCTACTCAATTCAACGCAACGATTCATGACCGATTCGTGATCGGTCCATGTTCGAGTATCAACGATCCATGGTCGACCCTCGGTTGTCATATAGCCGCGTGGAATTGTACACAACGGAATCGGTCCATGGTCGCTCGTGACCGGTGCATGATCGAGCGGAATCACTCGCGACTGACACATGCCCTCACAACACCAATCCATGGTCATCCGAATCGTCCCACCAGCAACCCTTATAGTCGAAAGGTCGATCCATGGTCGAATCGCTTTAATCGACTTGCATGACGAGAAAGTCTTTTCATTGTCGACCCCTTGGCCTATGATCGAACCATAACCGACCCTCTAGATACCCGTTTCGACCATGCTAGCTAATCCATAACCGACCCTCGGATTGGTCCGCACACTAATTCCATGGCCATCTTCTTTTGGTCGTCTCGGTCTAATTTGGGGATGTTACAACTAGACAACGCTTAATCGTCGATGAAAAGACCTATAAGCGCTAATGAAGAAACTCGTTTATGGCTATTGCTCATCTTTGTCCGTTGCGTGTTTACGCGAAACTTCATAAATTCATTCTAGTCAAACCGTACTTCAGAATGGATTTTCATCAGACCCCACAGCTCCACGACGCCTCATCTACCATTTCCATATAAATCTAAAACTCAATAACTCCTCAATCAAATCTTCGCAAATCAAAATTCAAATAACTCCAGGTTTATGATCTAAATTCGAAAAATACATCGATTAGATGAATAATGGGTTCAAATACTTACTAGCGTCGCAATTCGGAGTTGATTCGGCTCGTCGGGATGTCCAGATCGACTTCACACGAAGAATATTACCTCTTTTTCTTCTTTTCCTCCTTTTTCACGGACGACCTCTCTCTCTTCCCTTCTTCTTTATCACTTGCCTTGCTCATTTATTATTATTGACTTGCGTGCTAGCTTTTTTTTTTTTTTTTTGATCGGTCCTACTCTATCTCTCACTCACGAAACACACTCAGATTTGCGCCCCACCTCTTGGGGGACGTGGGCATCGAAACCCACATCTTAAACTACGCGGCCCCACCCCTACCCCCTGCGAAGGTGGGGATTCGAACTCCCCACCTCCCCCTTCTCAAGTGAGAAGGGTGGCCACTGGGGTAAACCCCCAGTGGTTGACTTGCGTGCTAGCTGAAAACACTTATTAAGGATGGGCATTGGGCCCTTTGTTTTTCTTAATTCCTTTTTATTAAAGTCCAGTTCTTACGCCCCCTACCCTAGATAAGTTCTTTCTTACTCTTTCTCTTCCTCATTCTTGCTGCGCATCTCTCTAATCTCACACCCCTAAAGCTTCGTCGCCCACCAGCCGCCACAGCAAGACCCTCCTCCTCCGACATCTCTCTAATCGGCGTCGATGTTTCTTAGCCTTCTTTTGACTCCTGCTTGTACCCTTTCCATGTTCATAGCTGAAAAATTGATGGGCTTGAACAAGGTCACCGAGGGCCCTTAGTTTTTTGGGGTAATTGGCATATTTCTAGCAAGTTACGGTTGCCCTGTTGTGGTCCTTACGGCACCGATAGTCGTAAGGTGGTCTGTATGATTGGGGGCCTATGAAATGAAGCGATGTCTCGCCATGGAAGTTATTGGGTCTTTTGAGAGGAGCCGATAACGGACTCTTGATCCTACGATTGCTACATGGACCATTGACGCCAAAGTTTCAGAGAGTCTAAACCATTTGACCTTTCTATGTGAGATTTGGTCCTCCAGTTTCGATACTGCACGCGTTTCTGAAGCTGACATTTGACCTTATGGGTGATCATAGACGATTAGACATGGATAAAGGTTTTTTTTTTTTTTTGGTAGTGCCATCACACCCGTGTAAACTTTCCTCTTGGTTGTGGCCAAAAAAAGACACTTGGTCTCTCATGAGACATTCTACTGAGAGTAGCATTGGAATTAGTTTCTGACTGTGGATGTGTTCATGTTTGCCGGAGGCTGTGGTGTTGGTGACGCAGATTTCATTGGAGCTGTATCGTTGCTTTTCATTAAGCACTATTATCAAATTAGCTTCGAGCAACTGCTCCTGTTGGGTTGTTCCGCTGTATTGGTGGTGATCGATATTGCTTCTCAAGGTGATAAATGTAAGGTGCCCCCTCCTCCTCGCCGAAGCAATGGTATGCCAGTGGGAAATAATGCACCTACGACAACAGGGAGAGGTGGAGAAGAAGGCAATCACAGCGCGATATTAACGGAAGAGTTGGCAAACCTGGGTGGGCCCAAAAAACTCTCCTATGGAGAGTTGACGATTGCGACCAATTTTTTGGCAAGTGACCAGAAATTGGGAGGAGGAGATTCCGGGGTCGTGAAGAAGGGGTACATAGGAACAGCTCGCACACCGGTTGCTGTGAAGAAAATAACATCTGGTGCACGCCAAGGGAAAACGGAGTATGAATCCGTGGTGAAATCGTTGAGCCAACTTAGGCACAAAAATGTGGTGCAACTTATAGGCTATTATCACGAGGCGAATAACTTAGTCCTAGTTTACAAATTCATGAGACAAGGTAGCTTGGAGCGTCATCTGTTTAAAGACTGGCCCGTGTTGGGATGGATAACGAGGTACGACATCGCTCTGGGATTAGCGTCAGCTCTGCACTACCTGCAAAAACAATGTTGTCAATGCGTGATCCATAGGGATATCAAATCCAGCAACGTCATGCTCGATGAAGATTTCGTGGCCAAATTGGGAGATTTTGGCATGGCTAGCCAGTTGACCACACCAGAGAGCCAAACACAACCCAAGTGAAAGGAACACCTGAGTTACTGGGATCCAGAATGCGTTCGAATGGGTAAGCTAAGTAAAGAATCTGACATCTACAGTTTCGAAGTTGTCCTTTTGGAAATAGGAACCGGGTGAAGAGCCGTCGACCAAAGAACGAGACCCACAAAACCTTGTAGAGTGGGTTTGGAAGCAATATGGGCCCAGGAAGTTGCTCCACGAGGTGGACAAGAGGCTCGGCAAGGATTTCGCCAAGAAACAGGCCGAGGCCTTGATGATTGCGGAGCTGTGGTGTGTGCTCATCCCATTGACTCTCGCCTTTCGATTGAAGCAGCAATGGACATTTTGAACTTCAAGGCAAGGCCTCCCAAACTCCCCCTGAAGATGCCCAATTTCAAGATATAATTGACCCAAAGGTTTCGTCTGGATGCATTTGGCTTTAAGCAAATGCTTCGCTCTGTATAAAAAAATTAAATAAATAGTGCCTCGATGATGTTTGTTTTTTTTTTTTTTTTGTTCTAAAATGATGTCTATTTAAGTGTGATGTATGAGAAATAGAAGTCATTCTTGAAAAGCTGTTGTACTCGCCTTTTTCGTTTATTACCAATAGTAATGTTGTATGGTACTTAAAATATTTATTTAGATTAAATCACGTCGAACAGTATCATTTCAAGAGAGATCTCGAGTTGCAACCGAAACTTTACTCTTATGAACGAAATGAATTGTGTTAGCAAAATAAGCACTTACCAAAATTTTGAACCAAGCATTGAAATAGTTAATGAGAATAGACTAAAAGATAAAATGGTTATGTTCGCCATCTTGTGAAAGGGACGAGCCGCAAATATTACACAGAAATGAAGATAGCAGTTCAAAAGATGGTAAATGCATGTTGTAAGTAGTTTCGTATGTCTTCGGCAAAAAAAAAAGGAAAGTATTCTCATATGTCCTTTGGATGGTCCGCATAGTTTTTTAGTGTCCACGTCTTTCCATATGGTAAATACCTTAATTTTTGCTCATTCTAAAGTCGATTGCCTAACCATTATTTTCTCTTCAATCAAGTACCTCAACTTTCTAAATCTGACTCAATGTGAGGCACCCGTTAAATAAATTCACATGTCCTGTGATTTTGCTGGCGTGACTCATTTACTCGGCTTACATTAAGCAAAATTGATGATGTGGCTCGCTTACTTAGCAAAAGATATGGCATCTCCATTTAGGAATCGAGCGATAAGGGGAGAGAGTATGAGTGTTGACTTGGACGATTTCAGCCATCCAAATATGTATCTATAGATGTGGAATCATCTCAAAAGGCTACATTATTGATGATTAATGGCTATTTAACGGCGTTACTGTCCTCGTTGACATTTTCCGTCCTTGATTTTACGGGACATCTCTAATGACCCACATTTGAAAAGTTGAAATACTTGATTGTCCAAAAGAAAAGAGTTGAGATACTCAATCATAAAACAGATAAAATTCGAGTGATTGCGACGTCATTTTTTCGTTTTCTTTTTCTTTTCCTCCCCCTTCTTCCTCCTCCAGCCGGTCACCGGGCGTCGGCAATAGCCCAGAGGGGAGGGCCGGCGAGGTCTATGCGGATCATTTGATGCTTAAGTTAGAATAAAAATAGAGAGAGAGTGTGAGAATTTGGACAAGAGCTTAGAGAAGGAGACGAGGCCCACCCTTACGTTCATCGTATTAGCCGGAGATTAAGCTAGGTTGTTCTATTCCAGCTCTTTTGGGCCTTAGCCCTCAACAGAGAGCTTATTCATGGTTAAGCTCATTTGCATGTCCGAATGCATCATGGCGATCTCTCTAAATTGTCAAACGGTATTTGATAGATCAACTTCCTCAATTTCAAACGAATTCCATGTCCGGATCTTGTCAAGGATAGCTCGGCATCCATACGCGCAAGACTAGCAAATTGGTAAACGGAACACCTCCTCGTAACTTGACCCCAAGGACAAAATCGAATTACGGGCGTCACGACGTTTTCTCGACGCGCATAATTCCGATCTAACCCTTTAGATTGGATGCTCTTTCCACCTTATTACCGATGTGAAGTGTCTTGCCTTCATTGAATTTTTGAATTGAATACAATTTCTCCTCTGTGAAGGGGGTCGCTCCAAAATGGATTTATATATGTCGGACAACCGAGGAAGCTCCTCCCGCCCTCCCCCACATGGAGGCAAAAACCAAAGGTGGGATTTTTCCGATCTTCTGTCGCACACCAGATGCTCGACGAAAACCGCGGTCGGGCGCATCAAGATCGAAGCTCCCTGCCCGCGCGGGGCCAAACCCATACGGTAGAAACCGCCAGCACACGAATCTTCCCAGCAATTTCCGTCCCCCGGCAGAGCGTAACCTGAGCTTCCTACATAAACCCCTTCGCTCCTTAAACCCCCTGATTTTTCCCCAGCAACACAGTCCCCCAACTTTCTTGAATTTTCTCGGGAAAAAAAAGTGGGAAATGCATCGGCGGGCTGCGGAGGCGCTGGTTTCGGCTCGTGGGAAGTCGAGCTTGTCCAGGTTCTTTTGCATTGCTTTGGTCGCCATTTCCTTATAGAGTTCATTCGAACTTTTTTCCCATCTGGGTTTTTCGAATGGTGATGCGTTTGCTTTCAAATTTCTCTCTTTGCTTGCCGGAAAAAATTAGCGGGTAAGAAGAGGAAACTGGTTTTTCTCGAAGCCCGTGACTCTGCATTCAGTTCGCACATTATGTCGTCCATTTGAGACTCGATGCGTTCACCCACAATAGCTTTTTTAAATGAATTTATGCTTCGTTGACCACTCTGGCAATGGAGATTTCGAAGTTGTAGGTGACTCGGTGGGATTTCTGAGGTACACAGACTTGTTTACAACTAACTGTGTAACTGTCCTGAAAACAATTTTATGATTGTGTTACGAGGTTCTTGTACTTTATAAGGGCACGTAGTAATGTTGTGCGGTACACCCCATATACTGTAGAAGTGCCCGTGACTCAGTAGCTTCTTTGATGAGAAAATAGAGCTGCAGTGTAGATTGTGGACTATGGAGTAATCAGGAATGGCATAAGATGTCCTCACTATGCTGAGCAATATCAGGGATCGATTGAGTCAACAAGTTGGAATTGATGAACTGATAGCTCATAAATGGCTTGTGTTCCAAACTTCTTTTTGACATGTGGTCAGTTTCTCGTGATGGCTTCGGGGGCAGCCAGCATCTTATTTGTTATTGTAAAAGAGTGACTCCAGGAGTCCATCATTAAGTTGCTTGCTCTGGTTCTTTTCGATGGGAGGGACTGTTGGCAGATGTAACGCCACAACAGGAAGGCTTTGACTGATAATTTACGTGTTATGGTAAAAATCACTCCAATTATACCTCTTTGTACCTTTAGCTTCTTATAGTTCAATACCTTGATCAGAAAGCAATATATTAGGTATGCTATCGCCTGCTGTTACTGAGATATACTTAAGTTTATCATGTCCAAGGAATTTTATTAGTCCCTATGTAGCCTGAGAATGATATCATGAGAATCCCAGCAAAATCAGGACTACTACTTCTAGAGGCATAGCAGTGTGCATAGATTTATTTGCATTTACTATGAGTTTCGAATGAACCAAATAAGGTGATGGTTAATTCTTTCATTGCAGTTTTGCCTCTGTGAGTAATTGCTGCCATATCTGCCAATTGGAGGTGGATTTGAGAATGTCAACAAGTCGGACCAGTAAAACACCTAGAAGGAGTCAACCTTCGATCCAGTACCGGCGTAACCTAGTTGAGCGTGCATCCTTTGAGTTTGCTGATTTTGTCCATAAAGAGGGTGTCCCCACACATTCTGAAACTTTTCAGCAGGAAAAGGCAGATCCCAAGTCCAGATCATCTGAAATACTGAGCACTTCTGAACTCATCTCAGCAGTTGGCCATGCATGGGACTATACCAGTCGTTCTCTCGCAGTTTTACAACAAAAAACAAACTTAAGTTACATAATCTCTGGCGAAAAGGAAGATATCTTGCATAATGTGAAATGGCAACAAAATGGCAGTACATCTACTTCGCCTAAATGGAGTCATTCTGACACCAACTTAACAGAGATCCGGCTACTGAACCTAGACATTCTTAGGATAACTAACAGAACGTCAGTGCTTAAATTGAACAGTGAGAGCGCTGGGCAGTATCAATCAATGGTACGGAATTATAGTGGGGATATGACCAATTTGCTTAATGGACCTAGGGATGGAAAAATGATTTCATGTTTGGGGATCTCATCTGGACTGGGACTTATTTATGGCTGGATGAGTGAATCAATACCTGCTGAGGCCAAACATCCTTTCAAGACTGCTGTATCTGATAGTGAAAAAGCTGGTAAATACTTTCTTAGAGAAATAGTCACTCCTCCGCAGGATCTTATGTCAGGAGATGAAGGCCCTAATAGCTTCATAAATAGTGGAAGTGCTGAGTCTTACACCCCCTCTATCCAGTCCAAGGATTTGCCGGTGGCTAACAACGCAAAATTGATCTTGGACAAGAAGGAAAGCACCTCTTTGCTTTCGGATTATTACCTCAAAGTTGCCAATATTGAGGCAGACGGCTGTATCTCAAAAGCTGCATCTTCTACCCTTCATGCAGATTATCATTTAAAGTTTGTAGCATCTGAAAAAGGTGAAGACAAACTTCGCTGTAAGAGAACTAACGGTATTGAACTCTTTCCTGAAAGAAAGGAAGAGCATAATGATCATCCTGCCCAGGAAGAACATACCATGAAGATACACTGTTTGGGACATGATAAGCCTCAGGCTGCTGTTGCCAAGGAAGAACAGGCATTTGCAGGGGCATTTAGTGGTATCTTTGTCAGCCTATGTCTTCACCCAGTTGATACAATCAAAACTGTCATTCAGTCTTACCGTGCAGAGCAGAAGTCTCTCTGCTATATTGGAAAATCGATTGTTTCTGAGAGAGGTATGCTTCATTGGATTCGAAATGTTCTTGACAGTTTCATTTAGAACCTCTTTCGCTTTTTGCAACAAGGGTTTACCTGTTCTGTATTGTATTGCTAAATTGCCGGTGAAAATTGGTCAATAGTTGTCTTATTTTCCAGGTCTAACTGGACTATATCGAGGTATCTCAAGCAAAATTGCATCTTCAGGTCCAATATCTGCGATTTATACTTTCACATATGAATCAGTAAAAGGCACTTTACTTCCTCTTTTCCCCAAGGTATTTTTTCCTCATTTTGCTTTATAGACTCTCTTTCTCCACTTTTCTGGCGTTTGTCTTTTTGCTACATTAAATGTGGGCAAGGTTTAGAATGCCCCCTTCTAGCCTCGGCAATGTTTTGGATGGTCCCAACTAAACAGTATCTGTTTTCCTGATATCTCATCCACTTCTTTCCGCAGGAGTATTACTCCATCACACATTGTATTGCAGGTGGTTGTGCAAGCATTGCTACCTCTTTTGTCTACACTCCCAGTGAACGCATAAAGCAGCAGATGCAAGTGGGCTCTCACTATCATAACTGCTGGTATTCTAGTGTAATCCCGTTACCATAATCTCCTTATTTTACATGTCAAAGTTAGTAGGTCGGACGTTCTGATGGATTTTAAATATTTCTCCCTATGATCCGATTCCTGCATCTCCTTGAGACGTTTCTCTGTAGCAGCCTCATGAAATAATCCCCTCGCTACTTCATCCTTAGTTGTCAAGCATGTTTTGAGCACATGTTTTGTTTGTTTAAGTAGTTCATTTGCCATGCCATTTACTTTTTGCTTTTGCAGGAATGCGTTGGTTGGAATAATCACAAGAGGTGGTTTGCCTTCTTTATATGCTGGATGGGGAGCTGTGCTTTGTAGAAATATTCCCCACTCAGTGGTCAAGGTAGATATGAGGATGCACAAGATTATGGATTTCTTTTGTTGTTGTGGCTTGTAATCTTCATTTTCTTCGGCAAGTAAATGCTTAATCTTGTCTTACACCACTTGTAGTTCTATGTTTATGAGAATCTAAAGATGTGGACACTTTCCTCCCTCCCACCCGGTGCTCAACTGAATACCTTGCAATCGGTTGGTTGTCTGCCTGCCTCCCGTTTTCCTCCTTGAGTACATGGACAATTCCCATTTGCTCCACGGCATATTATTTTTCATTCTTGGTTGGATTGGGTCTTTTTATGACAATTCCCCTCTTATGCAGCTTGTTTGTGGAGGACTAGCAGGATCTACCGCAGCTTTATTTTCAACTCCTTTTGACGTGGTGAAGACAAGATTGCAAACTCAGGTTTGGTGGGATTTCATTGCGCATATATGTCTATATGTAACATAATCTATGCACGAAGTAAGGGGTGATGTTGAGTGAAGTTTTCATCAATTCCATAGTCAGCTTTTCATTTTTTTTCAGTACAAAAAGATAGGTAGGTGGAGACTGTCTTGTTTGTGTGAATTCTGAGTCAGCCAATTGATAGAATGGATAGTATAAATCACCAGCACCTGAACATATGAACACCTGGAAGTTTGGTTATGTGGAAATGTAAAAGATGAATGGCAGTATGAAGTAAGGACAATTGTACACTTGGGGACATGGTGGTTTGTTTGTCTATGATGATCATTTCCTGTAAATCAGCTGGAAATAGATTACATTCTTTGATGCCATGTTTACTTCTGCTTGTCCACTCTCTTCTTGTTCACAGCAGCCAGAGCTGAGTTTTCTGTTATCATCGATTGATTCAGGAATCACTGAACTATGTGCACTGTTATTTGGCAGTTATTTCTGCAATGGTCATTAATCGGAGGAATGCAGAGTCAATCAACATGACTCGCCTCAATTTCGAGAAATTTGCAAAACCATGCCAACCATTTATTTCGGGGTTTTTATAACAGTATAATTCAAACTTTTTGTTGCTTATAGAAAAAAAAGGAATTTTCTGTCTCGATATTGAGATTATGAAAGCTAATGAGCTTGGATATGTGAATGGGGCTTTACAGCCTCCTTCAGAAACTTTATTATACCAATTGAAATATGAACTGAATCAATTGCTTTCACTATAAAGCATGTTTTGGACAATAATTTTGGAGATAAACGTTTTATTTGGAATTCATTTTTGAGGTTGCTAAAGCAATCCGTTATCTTCCCTGGCCAATAAAATTTGGCAGTGAGGTTTGAAGCATTTGTCCATATCAGAGTTGAATGTTATATTTGATAGCAATTGTTAGTTAACCTGATAAGCTTCTCAAAAGCTGGTTGCTTTGCAGATACCCGGTTCTATTCATCCATATAATGGCGTTTTCTGTGCCCTTCAAGAAATAGGCCGGCATGAAGGGTTGAAAGGCCTCTACAGGTATTGCTTTCTTCATCCAGGAATATGCTATCCTACACCGTACTGTCTTCCTTCACAATAGCTGACTCTGTTTGGAAGGTGATGACTGTATTGAGCCAATCTCCTCCTGTTCACTTTAATAATCAGGGGATTGACTCCAAGACTTATTATGTACATCTCTCAAGGAGCGCTATTCTTTGCATCATACGAGTCCTTTAAGAGACTATTCTCTTTGGACTAGCCACAAGTAACTGCTCGAGGACAGCATTATAAGGACAATGCAGAAGATCATTCACCGTTGTTAAGCTTGGAACTGCAGTCATCATCTTCTCTGCCGTCTGCAGTCTCATCCATGAACTGCTCCAGCAATAGATAGTTGTGGTTGTTAAGAGAAGAAAAATGGAGTAATGGGTTGAAGGGCATGACAGATGAGTTGAGATGTGGGTCGCGCATCCTCTTGTGCCTTGACCTGGTGAAACATAGCCAGAACGGGCCGTCGTTGAGAAATTGCTATCGCTCAGCAGTTGAATGGGGATGCATTTGTTATCTGCTGCTCGGTTCGCGGAAGCGGGTAGAGGCAGAGATTGTCGGCAGTGGGAGCAGAATTTTTTGACCTGATGAAACATAGCCAAAACAGACCGTTGTCGCAAAATTGCTATTGTTCAGCAGTCGAATGGGGATGGCATCAGTTATTTTGTGCTCGGTTCGCGGAAGCAGTTTGTGTACATTATAAAAGGGTAGAGGTAGAGATTGTTGGCTGTGGGAGCAGCAATTTTTAAAAAAAAATTTCGCTTTCCAAATTTTGCAAGGAGCTTCTTTGTCCCAGTTCAACAAGTAGTTTGACATCAATAAATTTGCTATGGCTGCCACAAGCAAGTGCAACCACAGCTTGTAAGATGTCTGTAAGTCATTTGGTGTAAACATGTAATCTCATTGACGATGACATTACGTGAAATGTTTACTCTGGAGATACTTGTTGAGCCTTTAATTTTTCAAAGCCCCTGTGGGTTCAACTTTGAAAAGATCCTGCTCCAAGTTGAACTTGAAATGCTCCTCCGAATCCTTATAAGGCCTTGATAGAGGCTATCCGTGACTTTCCCTACAAAAATTTTATATAAGAAAAAAGTATACCAGGTTCTAAAAATTCTGCAAAAAGGTGTATATGTTGAATTGGAGTGCATCATATTAGGAGTTTCAATGTTAAATGGAAAATTAAATTGTAAGAGTCGGCCAATTAGCTAGACTGTGTAACCCCAGCAGGCTTACACCATACTCGGAGGACCCCCGTCGGACTCTGGGCCTTTTGAATTAGGGCAAATATCATAAAAAAACCCTAACTTTGCCTACTGTGATACGTACTCCAAAATTTTTTTGTGTCGCAAAATAACCCAAATTTATACACGTATGACATATATACTCTCTTATTTCAGTTTTATTTGGGGTATATATGTCACATTAATATAAAAAAAAAGTTTGGGATAATTGTGTCACAATGGGCAACCTTAGGGTTTTAAGTGACATAAAAAAAAAGGGTTCAAGGTATTCATGTTACGTTAGACATGGTTTGGGTCTCTTTTGTGGTGGTAATTGTTCGAATTATATTATTATCATGTTATATAAATAATTTTGAGACTAATTGACAACAAGGTCGTTGTAGTATAGTGGTAAGTATTCCCGCCTGTCACGCGGGTGACCCGGGTTCGATCCCCGGCAACGGCGTCTTCCTTTTCTTTCTTTTTTTTTCGCTCCCCTCTGTCTACATTGGAATTACATTTATTTCTTATATTTCCTTGTTCTTATGCTCTCCATACATTCATATCGACCAAAGAATGAAGCTAAGATTGCGCTCAAATGTTGTAAGTTTCAGTTCAAGAAGCCGCCATACAAATTATGCAAGACTCTAAACTTGGGTATGCTGAATACCAACACGGAGAACTGATCAAGCCGGGCAGTTAGGAGCCGGACATCGCTTTCAGGATAAACAGGGGGTCGGGGACAAACGGATGACTTGGAAAAAAAATAGAAAAATGTTATGCGATGCAGAGCCCGTGTGACGCCTTCTCATTGATTCGCAAAGATGGAGCACATGATTCCTGAGAGAAATGGCGCAACTGGTGTTGGGATTATTCATTACACGGTTTTGGCAATGGCAAATGGTTCCAACCAAGGCTCCCATACAGGGTTTGGCAACAAGAGCTCTTCAAAAATCATATGCATGCCCTCCATGTAAAGACTAAAAATCAGGAAAATCTTCCATCTCCGAAGAATCAAGCGAAGACCCTTTTTCTTCTTCTTCCCTATCGAGCCTACCATATGGACAGTAGTGTGATGCTACATGTAACTCTAACTAAGAAAAGGGGAGAGGAAACCGGAAAAACAATGAACAATTTTGACGACTCGCCTATCAAGCTCTATAGACCGCGGCAGATATTTGGTAGCCGACATTTCAATCTGACATGTTCACTGAATCGCCCGTGCTTTGCCTCAAATCGAGAACACACACCACCACCCACCCACCCCCCCAAAGAATTACCCATCTTTAGCCAACAAGAGAGTCGCTAGCCCATCTATATACAGCAGCAGCCTCCTTTCGCAGATCTCAGTTCACCATCTTTCGATGTACCCGCCTCAAGGGACTTGCTGGTCCTGGTCAGGAATTCACTGCAGAAGCACTAAAGCCTCGTGTGTGGAGCTTATACATCACACTCGTGCAATCGGGGAGAACGGAGGATTAAGCGCATAAGAGGAAGGCATGTCTTTCATCTTCTCAGGGGCTTTTTTCTCCTCCGAAACTGCTTCTATCAAAATCTGCACTTCCTCTTCAAAGAGAGTTTTCAGCGAATTGCTTAGCGGCACTTCCTTAATCTCTTGCCTGGAAGAACTCACGACTCCTGAACCATGTAACATAGCAACCGAGATAAAGAAAGCTTGCAAAGAGGACAAGTGAGCATGAAAGTCGACGGCATAGTTCCCCTCTTCAACAAACTTCACTGTTAAAGCTGGAGTGATTTCTTTGGCTCCCTATGTGCATACCAAAGAAAATAAAAAGTTGTAAGAGGCTGCTCACGCCAAAAGAAAAGCAAAAATTCCAGTACACATGACAAGCATCTAGAATGGGTTCTTAGCATATAAAGAAGCAACAGATATAAAGTGTAACGTTAGCTCTTACAGGCATCTACTCTGGACAACTGATAAAGAGCTCTATTACTATTTCTTCGACATTTTCTATGTATCAATATGTTGCAACTTACTTCAGATTACTGAGCTGAAAAGAGGAAAAAAGAATTTGTTCTAGCTGTTTGAGGACTTTCAAAAGGGTGCTTACTATTTGTATAATAGTCAATATGGTAACAGGAGAAAGGCTGATTATAATGAATTCATTAGCTAGAGCGCGTGCATTAGAAATTTTCAAGTGTGTACCTACAGTGCCTATATTAGACATTGAAAAGATTTTGAAGGCTTTAAACCCAATATTCTCATCAACGAATTATAGCTCCACCCACTCTGAATCTTATAATAATATTAATCAAAGATTCAACTTGCACTCAATACAAAACTAACCTGAAGAAAAAGTTCTAAAGGCTTCTGATTGTCCACAAGTGATTGATCTTCAGTGAACTGTATTTTGGGATTGCCAAAAACAGTAAGGGGACAGGCCATGTCCCAGCCACCACAGTCACAACCTCCGCCCGACCTCCACCTCTCTAATAATGATGAAGGGCCACGGCTATCACAATTGGGTAAACCATGATTTCCAGTTGGAATTACCACCTGAACTGTGTTACAAGTTCTTTCTGGTAGTTGCTCTTTCATCTGCTCAAAGACAGAGAAATTAAGGAGGCTAGGATGAGCATTATCGTCAATCTTATTCCCTCTTTTATATCTCAAGCTCTCTGTCTTTTCATATGGAACCTGGATAACGACAGCCGCAATCTCAAGGTCTGGACGCGGTTCGGAAGGAGCCCAAGGGTACAAATTCAAACTAACAGGATCTCTACTATCCCGAGTATGTTTTGTCTGATGCTGGATCTTAACGGCATTGGCGATGTCGTCTATTTTGCTCGTCCTTCTGACACATCTAGGATTGTTTCTGCTCCCACATTTTACCTCTGGCAAAGAGCTAGCTTGATCTTGGGATTCACGAGCCGTGCTTCGTCTTGCATGCGCGATATCGTACAGAACAAACTCTGTCACCAAAGAATTATCGAAAGATCCAGTACCTTCCAGTTCTGAGCACAAGTAGCAGCAAGCTTGCATCTGTCCCACCATGGACGATTCTTTCTTGCCCTCATTTAATGCCCATCCCTCAGCACTGCTCTTTTTCCTTCCATCATGGGAATGGAAAGTATATACCCAACTAAAAGAATTATTTGATTTCCGCGTCTGGGCCACAAGAACCTCTTCCCGACACTTCAAAGAGAACTCGAAAAACGGCACTCCATGTTTATCCCTGCATTTGAGAAAGCCATGTAGGTGGACTGGAGACTCTTGGACCGTGGAATGACTGCAGTCAGTCTTAGGAACTTGAGCGCTCAATCTACAATTGTGTGATGTACTTGAGAAATCATGAGACATAGTTGTGGATCTTCTAAATGTACTATCCCTTCTAACATGCACCGTCCCTGTAGTTTTGACTAAACCATCTTCCCTGGCATAAGCTAAAGGACTCCGTAAGGATTTAGACTTTATTAAAGGATCAAACATCTTTCTGACAGAGTTGAGTCGAAAATTCGAGCTGGTTTTGGACGAGGGACAGCTTTCTGATACAGAAGGGGAAGGGGGCATTTCCACCTTTGCAGATAACGACTTGGGCAATGGGCAGACTTTATCTCTTTCTTGAAGCCCATTACTATCATTAGAACGCCCAATGTTTTCGCCGCACCGAAATTTGAGATCCCCAGTTGAATCTCTGTCCAAAGCTTCTGCAGATTGCATCTTTCTGTCATCCACATTTAGACATATATCTTTCAAACGATTGGTGGTGGGAGGCTGCATGTTATGCTTGTTATTAGAAGTGGGATTCGAGTCCAAGTTTAGAGAAATCACTGACGATCTCTTCCATGGGCTTTCCTCATCTGAAGGACACAGAGAATCGACAATACTCACAGAGGAAGTGGTATCGCTGCCCTGTGACACTTCAATTTTTCTCCTCCTCTCGGAAGTTCCAATATTTGTCATCCTCCTGATCTCTCGAGAACTTCGATATACGGAACCTCGCCTGAATTCGACATTTCCTTCCGGTTCTACGGGCCCAGAGGAAATGGTTTTGCAAGAAGCACAACGGTAGCGTCCAAAATCTATTTCCAGGAAATCTTCATTAAGGATCAGCAAATCATCTTTACGAGCATGTTTTGCTTTTTCTTTCCTCTTTTCAGTGCTTAAGCTATGTCGATGAGATCTGAGAACAGTCTTTGGGCTATGACGCACGGTACACCTCTTTACGAAGTTTAGATCCATGTCCACCCCCATTCATAAATTCATACTTCTGCAGGGAAAATAGAAGGATCACGTTGTTAACTTCAAAGAAGAAACCGAAAATTTTTCACCGAGCAAAGTGCAATCTAGTGCTATGATCAGAACTTAGAGGAAGGCAAAAGAAAAGTGTCGTGCAAGACTTTCACTGGAATTGAATATGAACTTCTACATCAGCATTATCGATATGAAGCTCACACGGAGACAATTTTCATTGAATCTGTAACTTGTGCTAAGCACAAACCACGATCGGCCAATGTAAGCTCGTTAAGAAAAACTGGAGAATGAAATCAGACCAATAAAAAATTCAGACTTTTAAATCACAATGCAAAATGGAGATGCACAAAGATTCACGGGTAAAATCAATAACCACACACAAAGTCCAGAAATTGACAATATTGTCACATCAAGCAAATGCAAAAGGAGCAGTTCCTAAACTTCCCAAACCAAAGCAAAATTTGATGATCTTACTGGTTTTTGGAAACGCATGGATCCCATTTTGGGTTAGAAACAATGAGATCACATAAACTTGAAAGAGGTTGTTCCTGATCCCAAAAGAACGAGACCGTCGAATCCAAAAATTTATCCTTGGCGATACTATAACCGGCTAGAAAGCAACAGAGGAAGATGCTACAGCAATCTCAGCTAAAAAAGGCAATGTCTTTATCTTCAACTTCACTTGCATTACAAGTTAAGGAGGACGAACCCAATGATAAAAATCGAAACTTGAGAAACCGGACATACCCACCAGATCTCTCATAGAAGTGGACTAAAGGAAAGACCCAACGAACTGCGAGCAGATGCAATCATATCCCACCAAATGCTTGATCTCCAAGTCTTCATAAATCTTCCCACAGCGCCAAACGAAAAAGTTCCAAGAATCCCCTTCTTCAAGAATGAGTGAACGGTGACCACCAGACAGTGACAGGGTCACTGTTTGGGAGTATGCCAAGAAAATGGACAAAGCGGCAAAGGGTAAAGTGAGAAACGCAAGCAAAGAACTTGGCCCCAGGAGCAGCAAAGCATGGTAGACATCAGAAAGTGGTGTTAGAGAGAGAGAGTGAGGCAAGCCAATGATAGAGTGATGGCATGCCTGAGATTTCTTAGACTGAAAATAAAGTTGAGTGTGACCCCCTCTCTCTCTCTCTCTCTGGGGTAAATAAGCAAACACTCAAGAAGAGAGACAGAGAGCTGCCAAGCCTGAGCACATTGTCTACACAGAAAAGCAATTGCCTTCTAGTCATCATGTGGTTTTTTCATGTTATGGGTGTGTTTTGGCCCCAAAAAGATCTCTCTTTTTTTTTTTTTCCTTTGCTTTGCTTGCTTCCGGTTTATTTTCCCAATGAATTTTTGGGCAAGTGATTAGGGTAATCTTGAAATGGATGCCCAGATGCTTGAAAAGACAAATGAATCCTTCTGAAATAGGCCTTGTCCCCCTGCCGCTACTGCCAAGGGCAGTTTCTTGGGTAAATTTTAAGAGGTTGATCAAATCCGAAAAGTGCTGGCTAGTGTCCAATGCAGCAGCCCCACTGTGAGATCATTATTCAAATGCCTAGGAAATTGAAGATATCAAGACAGGAATCACACATTCAATTTGACTGTTTTCGCTGATGAGAATAAGACAATAAAATATTAATATAGTTTGTGGGGTTAGAAGATTTCAGATCCGCCCTTGTCAAATTACCATAAACCCTAGGAATAGGGGAAGCCCCCTTGGACTTCTAGTTGACCAAAATGGCCAAACACTCATGTCGATGTGAAATCATCACGACAACTTCGTTAATTGCGAAGTTTTGAAAGTTTTGAATGGAAACTAATACGCAAGCGACCATACAAGTGGTCCAAATGATTGTCCTTCCGGGTTTTAGCACAAACCACCTGGATAATACGTGCCAAGGATGATAAACTGGTAAAATCGTGGCAAATCATATATGTCAATATCTTGATATCCTCCAGGCCTATGAAGAGATCGCAATCATTTCATTAGGGTAGTTAGCGAAACCATCTCGTGCGACGTGTGAGATACAATCAAATCTTATCTCGACCAGTCAAATCCGATATTTGCAAAAGAGATAAAAATAAAAATAAAAAACCGACAACCCATTTTAAAGCGTCACAATAACTGGACCCAAGTCTCCCTGGATTGAACAATTGACTTTGCATGCACCCATGGATTAATGGCTAAAAAAAACGCATGCAAAGCGATGCAAGTCTATCTATCTACACATTACCCTTTCCGATAAGCCATGAAGTAAAAGGCTATTATTTAGCTAATCTCAAAAAATGAAAGAAAAAGAAGAAGTAAAGGGAAGGGCAATATAAAAAAAAAATGAGGATTTGAATGGGGATATGACCGATTGACCAAAGTTTGTCCCATGGCTTTTGATATTATGAAAGGGGGCGGGGGGGAAGGGCATGTGATGGGGGCGTTGGCGGGAGGAGGGGGGAAGCCAAAGCCAAATCTCGAAAGTGAATTGTCGGTCCACATCAAACCCACGGAATCTTCCCCCCAAAAACTTAACATCATTTCATTTCCTCCCCTTTAATTAATGTTGCGCCTGCCCTCCCCTAATTAATTATGGAGGTGGCCGAAAAGTACCGTTCTACATCCTCGATAATCTCACTCCTTAAGCTGCAATTAAGGAAATTGCTTCGTGCTGGCAATACTTAGCGCAAGCACATGCTGTTGCTGATCGGCCATGCTAAGAGCTAATCGGATTCGGCAGGTTGGGATCACACGTAAGAAAGTAGAGATTCCGGAAATGGGGAGAAGAAATTAAACAGAAGTAAACGAGGATTCCTTAGATCCTTTTTCAGTTTTCATAACGTGGATCTACAGTTGTTTTGAGCGATCACAAAAGTGCATGAAAACCGATCATGTCACGCGTATGGGAGAAGGCTTTCATTTAAAGGATGACTGACTTGGCCCTGTGTAGTACGCTCAAGTTTTATCGCATGCAAATCAAAATTGCTTGACATTTTTAACGATTCCCACCCTTTTGGACTATTTCCGAGTCTCGAATGGATAAACTCGTGCCGGCAATAATTGAACAAGTTAGGTCCCAAGTCTCAATTGCAAGGGACGCAAGCATGAAAAGAAGAAGCCAACCACAGCGTACCAAGGTTGTTAGGGCGTGCAATGTACAATCACGAGATGGAAGAGCACAAGGGGGGAGAGCAGAGAGTTATAATAATGGCATATGAAACATACTACCAACCGGAATTTGCATCCACCAGGAACTCATTTCCTTTGGCAGATGCTACTTTGATGCAGAGTTCATTGCGTGAATACCAATCCAAGCGACCTCCTTCAATTTTGGTTGTCCATCCTCAATCCTCCATTTGATAAATCAATTAGAGGGCTTCCATGGGAAAGGGGAAGCTAGAAAATACTTGCGCTATCGGACAATACCCGGCAAAAGATGCATCATCAATCTCTAAGTTTCTTATCTGCGCACTGCGAGCGCAATAACTCGGAGACACTTTATATTGAAATCAAGCTCAACTAAAAGGTCGTCCCTAGCTCGATGGAACAATGGAATTAGCTATCCGCCGCACTGAGCAGTAGGTGGGGGCAAAATAACTCGGAGACGCTTTATATTGAAATCGAGCTCAACTAAAAGGTTGTCCCTAGCTCGATGGAACGATGGAATTAGCCATCCGCCGCACTGAGCAGTAGGTGGGGGCAAAATCACTTTTGCACCATATGAACAACCATATTGCTGGTTATATTGCAGCCAGTGCCCTACTCAGCACGCCACAACAACCATATTGCAAACCAACCCTCCATTCACTCGCTTGTCTTGAAAAGATTGGGTGAGAAATTGCATGCATATCTATAAAGAAAATCGGTCATTTCTACCTAAGCCAGTGTTGATACGATCTCATGACTACATATTGGGAGGATATGCACCTATGTATGAACACAGCAACAGCACGACTATCCATGACAACTGTACAACGTCATGATCCTAATTCCCTTTGCTGACCACTGCCAAGCTAACGAATGCTATGAAGGTGCGGGATGTGCCTACTTAGCTCACTTTGTGATTTCAGAGTTCTCGTCTAACTTGGGCTTGCTCACCGATTTCTGCCTTTCCAAAACTGGGATTTTTGCTTCAGTGCTTTTCTTAAAAGCGTCATCCGGTGGCTTGGTAGATTCTCGGGGACTAGCCAGCTGTTTCTCCACGCTTTCGAACTTGGTAGTGGCCCATGGTGCGGTACCCACACTTCTGGTGGAGCTTGGCCCATCTATTGTCAGCATTGACACTGCGTCTCTAGATGCATACCAGGAATGTCCACAAGCAATGCACTCCAGCTGAAACCAAAATTTCTAGTGTCTCAGCATCAAGTTTTAATAAATAAGGCAACATATCATAATTACAGAATTGTCAATTGACAGCAAGCAAAGCCATCAAGATATTATGTCATTTTTGGTAGGTGCATTTGGTTAAGGATTAAATTAAATGAAAGTGCAGAGAAAAACCAAAAGAGAGGTGAGAGAAAGATCGCAAAGAAATTCTTATGCTACATGCAGCAGCCTATCCCCTTCCAACTTGGAATACAAGATGGTTCAATCAAAATGGAGCAGTGAATGAGTCTCTCCAGTTAATATCTGGCACTAGCTCCAAAGCAGGCAATCTGACTAAAATGACAATCAGGCTGTATATCAGAACCTCTAGGAGACAAGGTATGGGAAGGAAAATATCAACAGCAACATCAGTTAAGAAAGAGCAAGGTACTGTTGATAACAGAATTTTTTAGCCTTTAAAATGAGGAATTTAAATACCCATAATGTTGACAACCTGTTTTCTTGTGTTCTTTGGCCCATTATAAAACACAAGCAGATATTTATTCCCCATTAAGACCAAACAGGATCTGTCTTGGTGAATACAACAACAGCTGGTGCACATATCATAGTTGTTTGGCGGCTGCCATACACTTTCAGTTGATACGACCAGGATAAGACAGAACATTTAGCTTCCATCAAAACAACACTGACCAGGTATCACAGAGTAAATCCATGACAACCATAAGAGATCTGGCTCATAACTGAAGAAATAGCCCTCCATCGTATAAATTGAACTGTAATACTGAATTGTTCATGCTGAAATCTATTATAAAAACTTATCCACTCAGAATGATTCATTGATCCAACGAAACCTATAATAATTGATCAGAAAGAGAAAAATACCTGATAACGATCTCCATGTCCAGCCTGGATGATGTCTCTCACACCGACTTTAAACTCGCTGCATCTAGAACAACGGGCATCTGTCATCTGCTTACCAGGCAAAATAACGTAGCAATAAGCGACAATGATCGCACAGAGATAAAATATAACAGAATTGAATCTTCAGTAACCAGTTTTGAGGACGATGGAAAAGTGACCTGCATGCACTCTGACTCCTCTGGCTCCTTTCTTGCTGTCTCCTCTGCAGTCAAGCCCTCCTGTGATTATTAAGGGGGAAAATGAGCAGTCCACTTCTCTAGTTTGAAAGAGCATAAAATTATGGTAATCAAAAAGTAAGAGTTTGACTACACCATCCAATAATAGATACAAACATACTAATTAATTCACACAGCAACCACTAACAATATCACTCTCTACAGTAAAGTAGCTGTGACAATGACGAAGGTAATTAGTTCATGAAATAAGAATCATAACATAATAGAAACAATTCAAAACTTTGTAAAATGCCAACAGTAAATTTAATAAAGCCAATGCTTTTCGAAAAGCCAAAGTTACATGTACAGCCAAGAAAAAAAGTTTATTTCCTAAACCACCCCAAGCGTCTCTTAAATTGGTAACCACAACTAACAACTTTTAACGCAGCGAGTTGGATAAGCACCAGAAGCAAACTTACTCCATAACAACATCTCGCTATATTCCTAGTTCTAAAACATAGCAAGCACGTGATATCAAGCGGACCTCATCTAAATTAGTAATAAAGCAAAACATTATGAAGTTAAGAACAAGTTTGGTAGAAGAGAAATATGAGCAAGTGAAACAGACACGGTTAAACGGGTACCCTCTCGCATTACTCTGCTTGTGGTTTACTGACTAATGCACACAGGATCCAAATAACAAATCAAATTATTCCAAGATAATTTCTCTCCATATCAGCTCCTGAAATCATTTCATCGGTCAAAGCAAGGGAGAAAAATTCTTGTCACTTTTTATTAGAGCTGCATTTGTGCAAAAATCACTTCCTGAAAACTAAAATTTCATATAATTGCCCTCACTTTTTGCATTTGAAGAGTTAAAAGCAACAAATCACCACATGAAGGTTGTCAGATAGGAACAAAAATGTACCATAATATTCTCCAAAAACAAAGTAACCGGAGTTTGCCAATCTAGATGCAACCAATAATTGAGAAATTGACATATATAATGCTACCCATCCAGTTTGATAGTATAAGCACCTGAATCAAACAATAGATAGAATACCTTCAACTCACTGGGCGACATGTTCAGTATCTTGGAAGGTTCCAATTCTCCATTTAACAAACGGCGGGCTAGAAGCGCAGTGCTCTGCAAGAAAAAATAAAAAAGGGTATAGAAACAACATTTATACCTTTCTCAGGAAAGCGTATACAGCAAAAGGCACAGACAAACCACCGAGCTTTTCCAGCATGGATGTGTGCTCAGATTTTGGCTAGAATGCTAGTGATTCTTCCATAACAGGCCAAACAATTTCTTACCTTCAGATTAAACAATAACTGCCTCAACTTCTGATTATATTTCTGAAAATCTAACGATAAGGTTTGATGTGAAGCCTTCTCAAGGGCAGTTACTGCTGACACCGCAGCATCTGGCCAAATTAAAGGATGCTCACCCTACAAGCAAATAAAAATAACATCACAAGTTTAACATCTCTATCATCATCTACCTCCAAAGTGAAACTAAAAGTAACTAAAAAAATGTCATCCATGCCTGCACTTTCTGTTCTTGAGATCCATTGACTCCTTCTGAACATTTAGTTCCATCTTCATCATTAGTTCCGTCAGAAGTGCAAACATACTGCACTGCCTGAAGAAGCCTCTCTAACCATTTATCACGAGCACCCGATCCTGTAAGTTCGTTAAACTTGACTAAAATGGCATAGTATTCAGAGGCGTTACTTGTACAACTTCCTGGTGTTTCAGCTTTAAACTGTTGATCTGATTTGGCTGTTGAATCTTCCTCTCTGGATACATCTAAAGGTGACACATTCCTTCTTCGGAAGCTCCTTTTTCTCTTCAACTGATCTTCCTGATCAGCATGAGCATCCTCTGTATCGATATCTGGGAGATCTCCCAAGCGCTGTAAGGTTTTTTGAACGAGAAGATCTATCTCGTGTTGTTTGTTGTCTTCATAATCCTTGTCAGTCAACTTCCATAACTTCTTTTCAACAGTGTCATAAACCTTTTGCACTATGAAACCAGGATTTTGCTTTCGATGAGGGAGTTGCTTGTGAATTGGAACAAAGTGTACCACACACTTGTGCATCACAGATTCTGCGGGAACCTCATCTCGATGGAAACTATAAAAGAGCTCTCTAGTATCACGTGACTGCCAACTCCCACCTCCCTTTTTCTCTGCCTCTTCAGGGCGGTAGAACCATTGCCCAGTAACCATTATGCTTCCTTTTGTGGTTTGTGCAATATCCTGTATAATCATATGATGAGTACCTAATTGAACACTGATTGACAAAACATAATAGCAACCAAGGGTACAAACTTTTCTAGGACAGTTATCAATGAAAACAAAGTTTTCACAAGATAATAAAAAGAGAAGGAAAAATTCCAAGAAAAAAAATCAACCACCATAATGCAGAAATATTTACCTAAGAAGAAGACTTATGCTCACATAACAAAAGCCCCTACGGAGGGAGCTAACGGATATATAAAGGAGACGGAGAAATATGTACCACCCTCTAATTTGATTCACTATGGTTAAAAGTGGGAGAAACTTGAACTCAACCTATGAGCCGAGCACAACATAAAAACTCACACTATGGCTCATGATATGGCAATCCCTGCCGGATGAAGCTCTTGAACAAGCCTCTAGTCATAAGGACGACCTAAAGCCTGACATCCACTCTTCTGATTGAACTCATAGGGAAGTCAAAACCCAATCCCCAACTAATCTGCTCTATACTACCATTTATCTGCTTCTTCAAAAACCACAAAAACCTGCAGGCTGAAGCTAATTCAGTAGCTATAGAAGTCCTTGATACACACATAACATCCAAAGCATCATGAGTCCTCATTACATCTGATACACAGAAGAGCGATATGTTTGACATTGTTCAAGATTCTATATTTTTGTTCAACAGCGTATTGTTCCTCAGAACTTCCAATGCTAACTCACAATGAAAACCATTCAGAAGGAAAGCGATGAAAATTTAAATTAAATTAACATGATCACCAATACTTTTCACATAACTCGGAACGAGTTTTCTGACCCCAAACAGTGAGATCAGGAGGCACTGAACATAAATGGAGAGCACCAAATAGTTACCTTGATAATAGCCACGTATGGTTTTTGATCTTTTTCGGCGGGGACTAGAAGTACAGGATCCTCCTGAATGATAACCACCAATACAATAAGAAGAAAGGTTACACAAAAGTTTGAAGAAGAAGGAAAGTAAAGACTTCCAACTTTGCTTAAAGGGAAGAGGCCAAGATTTTTTCAAAGAGGATCATAACATTAAGTTGTCCAAGCATTTATCCTGGATTAGATCCTACGGAAAAGGAGATGGAATTCAATTGCCAATTCATCGGGAACATTTTCTCGGGGAAAGCCGTGCACATGCAATTGTCGACATTACAACGTCAAACAAGACTGAACAAACAGGTAAACGAATGTCAACAATATTTTACTAGATTAATGAAAGCAAGACGTACATCTTTCAGTGAATTACACAGCCCAAGTGAGATCATCCTGACCAAAGGAACGCAATGTGCCGATTAAGAAGACATCAAGAAACCGTATTGAAAGCTATCTTTTTTCAATAAAAGAAGGAAGGTAAAAATTTGATGTCCTGAAACGCCAATTCTCAATAGACCAACAACACAAAAACCGTGAAGAACCCGAGAGAGAGAGAGAGAATGAATGACCCCATCCAATGCAGAATCGCCGAGGTGAAAACCCTAAAAAATCTCATGTAGAGAAACCAATTCCAAGCCTCCCTTCAACGCACCTCATCAAAACAGCGAATTGACGAGCTTCCCATTTGCAAAACGCACGCAAATGACACTCGATTCGATTTTACAGTTACCAGAGAGCGAACAACCGATAAAGGAAACCTCGACCCGGGAAAGAGAAGCAAACACTCACGAGCTCGTATTGATTTCCATCGAATTCGAACGCCACGTAATGGCTCCTCCGCCCCCTCCCCTTGCTGGAAAACCTAACCGGCTCCCCGATTGGCTTCGCGTCCTCGTCGGCGTCCTCCTCCTCTTCCGGCTCCTCCACCTCCACCTCCTCCTGCTCCTCCTCCTCTTCCTTCTTCTTCTTCCTCTTCCCCCCGTTCTTCGCGCCCTTCTCCTCCTCCCGCCCGCCCTCCCGATCAGCCCCGTCCCCGCCCTCGTCCCCGTCCCCGTCCCCGAGCTTCACCAGCTTCCGGCGCTTGCCCCTGGACTCCGCCTCGCTCTCCACGGGATTCTTCGAGGAGCGGGTGACCCGCTTCCGGGGGTGCGGCTCCTCGTCCTCCTCCTCGTCGCTCGTCGCGAACTGCGCGAACCTCCGATTCCCCATCCCCGTCGCACGCCGAACGGATTTGCGCAGATGGGGGTAGCGATTAAAGTTTCGATCTTTCTAAGTCGAGCGGAGGTTCGAGTCTGTCAGAGTCAAAGAGAGAGAGAGTTGTTTGAGGACAGAGTGTTTCTAACGGCGTCGGTTTCGAGTCCGCCGTGCTAAAGTTCGGATCTTGATTTTGATTTTTCCTTTGCGAAAATTGCAGCAACAATCTCTGAATTTTGAATTTATATATAACGTTCGAACAAATTGAATTCGAAAATTATAATGATTTTTGTCATTTTTTAAAGATCTTGTTTTAACTTTTCCTTTGCGAGAATGATGCCAACAATCTCTAAATTTTGAATTTATATGTAAAGTGAACCTTCAACTTTTAATTTGTTCAATATAGTTTCTAAATTTTAATCCGATATGCAATATGATTTTTGAATTTTTAATTTGTTGAACAACAAATATTGGCAGTCATGCTTGTGGACATCTATGCTCCAAAATGGAGAGCAAGTCCCAAAAGGAGTTTATAATGAGGAGGAATGAGTCGATTTTGTGCCAATTCAATCAATCCGATTAATTTTGATCGAAAATCGCTAACATAAATGTTAGCGGTCCTAAGTGGCGTGACCGATGTTGACATGTAAATTTTAAATTTTTTTAATTTTTCCTTTTTTTTCTTTTCTTTTCTTTCTCTCTTTTTTTTTTCCTTCCCTTCTTCCTCTAGCTAGCGAGCTCGATCTTACCGGTCATTGGCGGGGCCAAGCCTCACTCGTCCCTGGCAAGGCTCACCATTGCCAGGCTAGCCGTTACCAGGCTGGCAAGGTCCTCACCAGTGGCTAGTGAGAGAAGGTGAGCCCTCACCTTTGGCTGGTGGTCGAGGTTCGGCGACCGGCCGGAGGAAAAAGGGAAGGAAAAGACAAAAAGAAAGAGAGAAAAGAAAAAACGAAAAGGGAAATAAATAAAAAATATTAATTCAAATTTTAGTAAAATATTATTTAAAAATATCTACGCCAGCATCTGATGCGTCACATAGAACGGCTAGCGTCCATGTTGACGATTTCCTATCATAATTGACCGAATGGATTGAAATAGCACAAACGCAAAAGGTTAGGACTCAATTAGCTAAAAAAAGATTTACGACTGAATTGGCATAATTACAGTAAGTTTTAAATAAATTTTTGGCAATTTTTCTTAATGCGTAACAATTTAGATGATTAGAGGGGTTTTGGAGGATGCATAAAACATGCTTTCGAGTCGATCTAAACTTAAGCTTGGAGTGATTTCGAGTTGATTTAACAATTTTTTTTTTTTTTACTAAATCACAATCTTCATGAGGATAGGGATATGCATCCCTTTAACGATTCGCATTTTTTCGAAAGATAGTAGATCTCATTGACCATTATTTTGAAAAACCTCATCTTTCACATTGAAGAATCTTATCCTTGTTCATCATAGCTCCGATAGACAGGACATATTCTCCAGCATACACAGATTCGGAGGCCGGGAAGATGTCGAAAACTACATTAGAAGCAAATAATAATCTGCAGTAGATGATTAAAATTTAGCAGGAGACCCTCTTTCGCATGAACAGGAAGACTATCGATTTCTTGTTGGTCACGCATCCGAAGTTCAAGCAACAGATATGATAAATTGACATCATGTTACCAGATATGTACACAACGCCCAGGTGACACCAACCTCTCATGCTCATGTCGATATTTTGTTTCTCAATCCCTGTCACGGGATTCGGGACGGGTCGGTGAGAAAGCGCTACGGAACGTAGAGATACAGCAGCATAAAGCAACAGACAACTTTATTGAAAGAGAGAATTAAAGAACGCTGCATAGAGAAACAGTCAGTTAATTCCGCATGAACAAATGAACCATTGTGCTGTACATAAGTTACAAGCACTACAACTATTTCTCTCTCAAAACTATAGCAATTCACCCTTTTAACTATGAAGAAGTCTCTGTATAAAATGACAACCACCCAACACACTACCGACAAATGCCTTGGTTCGGGACATTCACTACTTACACATAAGTACATTGTACCAGGGCACACCTCTCATAGAATGCTTGCTTTGCCTCGGCACATGGAACGGATCATCCTAACTGGGAATGTGAGAAAAGAATGCTTCAAGATGGCAAGTATCAACCGGCCATATACACGGGCTCTGGAGTATATGTGCAGTTCAACTCAATGGTGTTTTCTGTGTTTAATTAGTATCTGTTTACTCAAGTGAGCAGCCAGTAGGTCCATTGTGTTTGATGCTTTTCTTTCTTTACAGGGACTATTTCTATGCCGTTTGGAATTAAAGTTCGATTTGCAGTTTCCAGGTCATGTGCCAGCACTCCTTTTGCTTTCAAGGACAGAACCTTCTTCAAGTGCCACCTGTGCCTCATTGTCTCTCCCCATCATAAAAAGAGCTACAGCCTGCAGATAGGATGCAATGTGCCAGACCGGAGATATCACCTGAGCTTGCACCGCGTCATCAAATGCTTCTTGTGGCATGTTGTTCATGAGATGAGACAGACTGCGCCGTGCATAAACAGTTGGGGACACCATCGTTCCGACTTCAATGAACTGAAAATTGAAAGAAACAGAGATTGGTGATGAATGTGCTTTCATATTCACTGAACGTCACACCAACTTTAAACCTACTGGATAGCAAGGAGAATCATCATATGCCGTTCATGCTATGTTGGCCGTAGCTTACATTTATGTGGTTAATAAAAACTAAAGGGCAATCATACACAATAATATCCACAATTCAAGGAAAAAGTATCCACTAGCAACATTGATGGATGCCTGTCACAGAACTAGTATCTCAATTTGTAAAAAGAAACCGGTAAATGTTAACAAAAATTAAGAAATACAACCACAAGCACATTCTCCTATCCAGCCAAAACATTTTAACCCTAATTTCTCCAAAAGGGTGACTTCTTTAAATATTAGTCATTAATAGTCATTTGATACCTTATAAATCAAAAAAGAAGATCACAATTACCTGAGTATAGCAGTCAATTGCAGCTCTAAAATCTTTATGCCGGAAAGCAGCATCACCCTTCTTCTTTGAGTTCAGTGTGTCCTGCACCTGGTTGGTCCACATCTGGAATGAAAGCTGCATATTACAATAATTGGGGTTAAACTCCAGTCATGGTGCGGCAGGACAAAATGGAGAGTCCAGCAATTATAAAAAATGGGACAGGCACTGGACATGTAAATGATATTTGATATGAAGCCTATCTCACCAGACGAAATTATAGTCTGCATTATGGGTCGTTATACAGAGTAAAAATAAATAGAAAACCAATAGCATTGATAGGTTCATTTCTTGGTCAAGTAACAGCAAAGAGAGGTCATTTTCCAGCAACATATTGCCGTCTAAGATGCAATTTACCCTCGCTAATTTATTTTGACATCATATACTAACAGAACAGTAGCATTTCTAAACAAAACCAGTGTGATATCTTATCTCATGAGAGGTATGGAATGAGAACCACAGGTTAACACATCTTGAAAATCCTCTCTAGGTTAACTTTATATAAGGTCCTACAGTACCCAGAGGATGCAGTAACAGATCAGTTGTCCAATATCTAATCAGAAACTAACCTCAGTAGCTGCTCCCTCATCATCTTTATACCCAAGTTTTTCTAAGACCTCATGTATAGCAGTCAAGTCCTTTCTGGAACATGCCTCACCAAGAGGTGATAGGGTTAGGGATGAATCACCATGGTGGATGCCCATCAATACATGAGAAGGAACCTGCAGTGCAGAGTGACTAATTAACGGTCAATCCAGCAAAAGAAGGGGGAGAACATGCTGCACTTGCAAGTCAGTGTAGTGTATCATTGTGTACCAAAATAAAGGCTCATAAAGATCAGAAGGGATGACAGGATAAGGTGTACTTACATATTGTTGATTCCGAGAGATTATTACCTTCTCCCCAGCCCAAAGAAATAAAACACAAAAACAGACACACACGCAAACATACATGTGCACGTGCACTTGCACATATCTATCAAAGAAAAAGTAAGAAAATCATCCTATACACACACTCCCAATTGATTTTATGATCTTCGAAGTTTAATGTTTCTAATAAACAGACATGCAACTGAAAAATGCGACCTTTAAGGATGTACAGATGTACAGCATTCACATTTCCTTCATGCTTATACTAATTAATATTCCAGTTATTTAGCTGCTGATCTCTTTACATGGAAATTCTCCAGATAGCTCTGAACTACCATTTCTTCTGCTTTGGACTGCGCACGATAGTAACATTTTGAAGATATTGGGGAAACTAAAATTACCAACCTCAATATCCTTTTGAAGAGGAGCCAGAACAGCAACTAAGGACTTTGGATTTGGCCGCTCTCGGGGCTCATATTGCAAACAACGTGAAGCTAACCGCAATAAAGCTGTGCGATCATCTTCTGAAAATTGACCTTCCAGGCATGAATCTGTGAGCATCTGAACGTTCTTGTCTCGTATTAGATCAAGCGCCTGATTACAAATTAAGCAAATTTTAGAGTTGGAATTTATACAATCACTGTAATTTTGATTCGGACAGCATAATATTGGCTAAAAAAAGGTCGGAACTAAAGATTTTTGGTTTAATGTGATGTCAGAACATAGCCGCTTAAGCCGTCACTGTGAGATAACAATGACCAAATTACTGAACAGACTCTGACACCAGGTTGACATGATTTACGGTACACTATGTGCAATCGTTAGCATGTGACTGAACTTTGAGGAGACCTGCCATGTAAATTACATTGTGCTCTGACTCACTGCTCCTTTCTTTCAAGCAAAATTAAGATGTTTTTATCTCATGGCACTGAAACCAACTTCAAACCATGCAGAGTATCAGCAAGTTTAAACTACCACCACTTATTCGGCAAAAAAGAAAAGGAAAACTAACACCACTCAAAAAGAGCTCGTCTGCAGGTATCTAAAATTTGTAATAACTTGCTGAGGATACCAATTTCTGGCTTTGAGAACTGTAGACATTTATCAAAGAAAAACAATTAGAGAGTATTCTTTGTGCCCTTTTTTGATTTAAGAATTAATTACAACATAACCTACTCCTAAATTCAAATTTACAATAAAAGAAATAACAAGAAGCAATAGATATGCTTAGTCGGAATTGCCTTCTTCAGGAAGCAACTTACACGGCTTGGAGGAATCTTTTTTCCACTAACAAGGTCTAGCAAAACAGTACCAAAGCTAAACATCACACTTTCAGGAACGACTCGCCCTGCAGAACAAAAGGATGCGATAAGTAGCCATTGAAAATCCATGGTCCACCTGATCAGTGTCAAGAGGCATTTCCAATGCATTAATGGTGAACAACATCCTTTTTTAGCGATAACCATCAAGAAGAGTAAGATGGCAAACAAACATAGTATTTCTGTATTTATTTTTCAGACTAAAAATATAGAGAAGAACACATGATGATCACAAGTCCTCTACAAACATTCATAAAGAGCTCATCCGTTTCATCAGCCTTTCCTCCTCAAGAGTGACCTCAAAACCACCAATATATTACCGAATACTCAAGTGCATCCATTACTTGACAGCTTGAACAGCTGTTAAAACTCTCAAAGAGTAAAAGAATAGCACTCAATAGACAAGCTTACACACATCCGTACCATTTACGTCCAAATACAAAAGCAACTCCTTCTTTCATAGTCGGAAAGGGCCAGTCACACATTTACATGTGTTTTTCTTACCTGTCCTCAGATACTCGGGAGGAGCAAAGGCCAAGTTTGTACTGTAGCTTTTTCCGTTTTTGCTGTTCTTCATAAGACCAAACGATGAAAGTCTAGGGTTTCCCTCCTGAGAAATGGCATTTTGTAAGATTATATTCCCTTAACTTGATTGTAGCTGGGAAATGTCATACTTACTTCATCAAAAAGGATTCTATAAGCATTCAGATCATGATAAAGATCATGTCCTTTGCTAGTACAATATTCTAAAGCTTGTGCAAGATACAAAGCCACCCTTAGCCGCATTGCCCATTTCATGGGCTGTGTATCCCCTGAGTCAAAATATATTCCGAATTCAGTCTTCCATTATGTACCAAGTCTCTTATAAGGTTAAAGGAAACAGTGAAACCAGACACAGAAAGAAAGAAGAATGTTGCTAATAGGATAATACTGTAACAGGGACTAAAAAAATGACAGTACCCAAAACCAGTCTCGCCTGGATCCAGTTCTCTCATATAAACAGGCCAGAGAATAGAAGAGAATAACATCCGGTTCTATGACTGGGCTAATACTGAGGAGTGATGAGGAGAAAGGAAGCACAAAAGTTTGAAGAAAATGATTTTTCTAAAGAAAAAATCCACATAGAAAACGAATAAAATGTAAGATTTCCATTTATAGATGCCAAGGTAGAAATCGCCCAAACAAAGGGACACCCACACCCACACACACACACACACACACATATTTTATATATATATATATATGTTGCTAAAAGGATAATAATATCAAGTGAATACCATTTACAACTACATTAACAATTACCAATAAATAGAGTAGATACCCAAAATGAGAGGTACTGATAGACTGCTCGAGTAGAACAAGTCAAACTTTTTTCAATCAAAGGTATATGTATATGAAGGAAAATGAATCAATGTAGCCATGAGACACAAACTTACAATGAAAAAGATGTTTTGGTAATGTGTCATTCGGCATATATTCTGAAACCAGTAACCTCTCATCACCTTCACAGCAGCAACCAATTAAATTTGCCAACCTTTGGTTACGGAGCTGCCCAACAGCTCTTGCTTCTTCCTATAATATAAGATTAGAACTCAGTCACAGGTAGCCAGAAAAATGCTCCATTTGTAAATTTTTTAACTTAGGTCACTCAAATAGATGTCACCGTGACACAGCCACAGGCTCCCATAGAGCCAAAGCGATTAAAATTTCCTATGGCAGCGCTATATTGATACTTCACCAGTCAGGGTGATTGGCATAACAAAATATCTTCAGGACCGAATCATGGTAATTTTATCTATTAAACGGAAACGCAACGTACAGTGAACTGCCTGGCATCAGGCCAAGATGATCTGTTAAAGCGCTTTACAGCAATTCGCACTTGATTTTCCAGTTTTCCTTTGTAGACCACATTTGGTGCCTTTTCCCCATGTTCAGACACAATGTTTTCAACAGCAAACCAAGATGTTGCCTTCCTGAGCTGATCGAACGTGTATTCTTGAAAAGCAGGCAGATTATCAAGTTCACCTTTCTGCTCATCTTCTGCACACAGACGACATTCTCACTTACTATAATTGATCAAACCAGTAAATGAACAAAGTAGAAATATAATCCACTCACCAATGCCCTTGACCTCGGGGGCTGCTGAACCTTGTTCTGAATCTCGGAAACAAACAAATAGCTTGGAGCACTTACAACCCATCCCGGTCACAGACTTCAACAAAGAGCAACAGCAAATCTCGAAGATCCAGCATTTACCAGAATTCTAAGCACAAGCTCCAATCAGTAGCTTCAAACACAATCCTCATTTCCTCAAGCAATCATTGTCAAACAAAAAGAGTCGCAATATCTTAAAACCAAATGTCAAAAGTTCATTGTTCCCAGTTCAGAACCTTAATTAAACCCAACAACGAATGTGACTAAACCATGCACATTCCACGCTCAAAATTCTCCTCAAACAAAATTAACAGGCAGGTGCTTATATCAAGTTCAATTCACATATCTAAACTCAACCATCAAAGAGCTCCAGAAGAAGTTAAGCCTTGAACTCATTGTTTCAAGTTCTTTTGCACGTAATGAAAAATTTCTCAAGACTCCCAAATCATCCACGCCCAGTACATTCCTAAATTCACTTGTTCCTCACTGCAAACCGACGCGGTACTCAACCAAGTTCCCCCCCGATTCTTTCCACCAATCTCCACCGAACTCAAAGCCCAGTCAACAGGAAACACAAAGCTCCTCTAGGTAACTTCGGACGAGCATCATTTCCGCAAACTGAAGACAACCCAAAAGCGGAAACAGCAAGAAAGGGCCAAGAACAAAGCGCGGAGTCAAAAACAAAAGCGAAGGAGCTTTAGGGACAACCTGAACCGACGATTCCCCGCAAAGCGAACAGCCACACAAGCGGAAAAGTCCCTGTTGCTGTCAGCCCTCAATCTCCATTCATTCCCTCTCTTTCCTCGATTCCAATTCGAACCCAGAAACAGGAAGCGAGCTCCGAGTTCGAACGCTTTGAAAAGATTGGATTTTGCAGAGCAGAGAGAGACACCAAGAAGAAGAAGGAGAATGAGAAGACGGAGCACGGAAATGGAATCGTTGAGAGTGGGGAGTCATGAGATTTAATATTATTTTTAATTTCTCGTTTTTTTATATATTTTTTTGCCGGGTAATCGCCTCCATATTTTCCTCCCTTTTCTGATGCTCAATTTTTATTTTCTTTTGGCAATTTCCACCGACATGACAACCTTCGGTTTTTTAAATTTTTTCTGCAGCTTGGTCCCACCACCAGTTACAAGAACATTAATAACCGCTAACAAATTTTGAAAAACTATTTGGAAAATGAAATGGGAGAAGAAAAGGCAAAATTATAGAAAAAACATGCGTGTTGAATTCGGCTTGGAAAACTATTTTTATGATAGTTTTTTGGAAATTCATAGGGAAAAGTCGTTTGTTCAAACTTGATCCATCTTGTATATCCGTTGGTATGGAATGAGTGGTAGAAGGTTATTTCGCATGATTGACCGTTCAGTTGACCGTCGCGCGAACGAGTATTATGCATTACGACGGTTTTAAATAAGTTGCTCGGCGTTATTTTTTCATCTCGGTCCAAACGTTTCTAAATGTATGCTCTTCCTCATTCTCATTGGTCGTTCCGGGTCCAAAGCATCATGCAAGTCGGTGTTGCGACGTATTCAAATGAGTCGAGGGATCGTTACTTTCATATGATTGACTATTACGAAAGATTCGTTCCGATTGGTCTTTCCTCTCGTTCTCTGCTTGGTCATTGCGTGCTACGAGTACTTACAACATATTAAATGATATATGATAATGTTATTTTGTACTATATCGGGCAAAAAATTCGACCAGCTAATCTATCCTCTAATTCTCGACTCGTGTCGAATTCATGTTAACATTTTCCATCCCACTTCTTTATTCGGTTGTCCGTGTTAGATTGATACTATTTCGCTTTGTTGACAAATGAAAACATTGACACACTATCATGTTTTAATGTTTTCTCGAAATTAGACTTTTCAGACCAAGACAATCTCAGCTACTTGGTATCATTGGAATGGATTACGACAACTTGAGCGAGTTGTCAAACGATTTTATTAATCTATCACAAGAGATTTGACCGATTGATCTTTTCCTCCTGTGCTCCTTTACTCCTCTTTCTCTTTTTCAATAATCTACGGAATCCCGATTATATGGAGACCCACGAAACATCCCATAAGCTCCACGAATCAGTTAAGTCAAGATCGGTCTTCCTTTCCTCTTTTACCCTGCAAGCATTGCAATAAAAACGATAGCATTTATTCAGGAGGGGAAGAAAGAAAGAAAGAAAGGGGGCATTTAAATCAAGAGCAATAATAATGGGCAAGCGTGTGGGGTACTATGAGATGCCATAAATTGAAGTGACAAGAATCTCTTCAAGATCTGCCCCCAATCTGCAATAGACATTAAATGTTTGGCAATAGTAATTTGGTGTGCCTTGTGGGTACATTTGCGTAGTACGGTCCATAGAATCCACACAAATTAAATCCATCTGGCTGCCAGCAGGAAAATAAATAGTTGTCAGCTCCATGATACGAGGCAAACATGCAAGTGGGACTGAGAAACTTCCCAAATTTTCAATTGGGGGGCAAGATGCAGATTGCGATAAGTCTCCCTCCATTAGTGGTGAGCACGAAGTCTCATTAGGTTTGGTTTTTCTTCGATGGAGAAAAAAAGGTGAGGATGATGGGTGACCATTTAGCATGGATTCGATTTGAGCCGTGATTGTCGACACCATTCGAGATACCAAGATCCGAGGTTCGCGAATTCGTCATCAAGACCTCAATAGCTTTGTAACTCTCTCCAAAACCAGGTGGCGGTGCCTAAGGGCGCGCATGGAATCAATTCTGGAGTAGAAATTCTGCTCCAGAGTGCATTCCGGAACAGAAATGCGTTTGTTAAAAAATTTTCGGAATGTATTCTGGAGTAATTTTTGCATTCTGGAATAAAAATGCGTTTGTTAAAAATAATTGATTCCAGAATGCATTCTTGATTCCATAATGCATTCTTGGGCAAGAAAAAGAGAAGCTACTTTTTGTAGAGAATATAGTTTCTCTCTTCTAGAATGTATTCTCCCTATTTTCTCTCTTTTTCGTAGCCTTTACAACACATTTTGAGATCTCACTAATTTTTTTTTCAGAAAATGCATAAAAATTGAAAAATTCCAGAAAATAAAAAAAAGTCAGATTTCGGGAAAATAGGAAATTTGATGAATTTTTTTCAAAAAATATAAAAACATCAAAAATTTCAAAATTTCACAGAATGGCTTAGAATACCTTTGGGCACCCACTTTGAGTGAAATTTAATTTTTTTGAGGTGCAAAAAAAAATCAAAAATCAAAAATTTCAAAACTTCACAAAATGGCTGAGAATACCTTTGGGCACCTACTTCGAGTGAAATTTAATTTTTTTGAGGTACCCAAAAAAAATCAAAAAATCAAAAATTTCAAAACTTCACAAAATGGCTTTAGAATACCTTTGGGCACCCACTTTGAGTGAAATTTAATTTTTTTGAGGTGCCCAAAAAAATAAAAAAATCAAAAATTTCGAAACTTCACAAAATGGCTTAGAATACATTTGGGCATTCACTTTTAGTGAAATTTATTTTTTTTGAGGTGCCCAAAAAAATAAAAAAATAAAAATAGATTTCTATTCCAGAAATCAATTTCTGGAGCAGAATTAGTCATGTTTTATTAAACATATTTCTCCTCCAAAAATCAATTTCTGGCAAGAATTCCGAAAATCAATTTCTAGCAAGAATTTGATTTCTGGAGCAGAATGGTTACCATTCGCGCCCTAAGAGAACGAGTTGGCTGGAAATTTACTGACGATGTGTCTTTGCAAGGTCGTGGAAAATAGGCAAGCACAAGATGACAAGACTGCTATGCTAACCATGCACATTGAATAGTGGTTCTTTAATATGTTGTTGCAAAACATGCAACTTAGAGGGGAGTTAATAAGCCTAATTCCTTAACAAACCCTAAATTTTATGTCTAGTTTCAATTCTGCCCCAACATCATTAGTCTAGAAAAAAATCCAAACTTTAGGTCAAGTCCAAATCTACCCCGAACTTTTCTTTGTCTAAAAAAACCCATAATTTTAGGTCCAGTCTCAAATCTACCCAAAACTTTTTTTTATCTAAAATAAAAATTTACTGTAGTCCCAGTTCAAAAACCGTCGTTAGTCGTCCCTAATTTTCATATCCTAAAACAGTTTTATTTTGAAGATAATTTTCCATGTCACCTTGCTAATGTAGATTTGTTATTGACGTGAAAATGCCATGTAAAATAGGAACTGGACCACAAGGGTACATTTGAGAATAGATTAAAAGTTGGTGATTTTTTATAGACAAAATAAACGACAGATTTATGATTTGACTTAAGTTATGGGATTTTTTCTGAGACAAAAAAAGAAGCTTGAGGCAAATTTGGGACTAGAGCTAAAGTTTGGAGTTTTTTTAAAGGCAAAAAAAATGTTCAGGGCGAAATTGGAACTAGACTTAAAGTTGAGGTTTTTTAGGGAATTTAGGCCGAAGTTAATCAGTTAATAATCAAAACTTGATAGAGTTTGCAAAAATATCATAATCAAGTTTGATGTATGCCCCGACCAAAAAAAAACGTTTGATGTATGCAGGATGCAATTTAATATATGCAAGAACAAGTTAATAGTATCATATACAATGCTTCAATCAAATAAATAAGAAAGCAAATAGAGAGATATAAGTAGTGCACATTGATCTTAATAGTGGTTCGACTTTTAAAAACATAGCCTGTGCTTCTTCTACCCTAAATTGATAGATTATACTACTAAATCCCAAGCACTATTATGGCAATCGTACACTTCTCATATGAGATTACAATAAATGAACTTCTTGCTTAACAACTCAACAATAGTATAAATATACCAAAGAGTAAAAGCTTTCTTAATCCGTAGTTATTTTTGTGATTTTTCCAATATGCATTGATCTTCTTATATAGTTTTCGGTATCCAAACTAGCCATTGGATAATTTTTAAGAGGACCTATTTAGAGGTTGAAGATAAACAACACAATCACCAAAAGATCTAGTCATCCATACAATCAAATCTTCCTAGCAATAATGTAGCTTCCACGAATAGAGTTGTCTATATTAGGAAATAATCCTTTTTTCCATTGTGATTGACAATTTGATTGGATTCTCCTTCGTATATTCATTTCAGAGTTCCGGACCTATAAAACTTGTCGTAAGTACTCTTTGGCTATGTTTGATAGTCGGGATAAAATTCGGAATATGATAAATTTTATCATATCCCGTGTTTGGTGCCTGCCCAAGGCAGGATAAAGTCGGATATATGAGGGATATCGCCTGGATAAAATTATCCTATGGGAGAGGTGCGATAAAAGTGGATAAGATTTCTAATGTCCATAATATAAAAGTTAATTTTCTAGAATGATAAACTTGTTAAATTAATAAAATATAAATAATATTTGAATTTTAATATAAAAAATTCAAAACAACAATATAATTTGTTTTTATTTATTCTTATTTTTATTATATATTCATTTTTCTTTCTATCTTATGATATAAATTTCGTATATATATATATACAACTACTTTATTACATATTTTAGGTATATTTGTGTAGTTTACTATTTAATAAAATTTTATTAGAGAATGATGGAAGGGGAAAAAGAAATAAAAAAGAAAATAATCAAACAAGAGAGGGAAAAATAATAAAAAATAAGAAAATAAAATTGAAGTAGGTAAGAGTTTCGTGAGAAATTTTTATCATCTTTGTTTGTGCAATTTTTAGGTTCATTTATACTGATATGACGTTCATAACAAATAATGGACATGGTAATATGTGAAAATATCCGGTTTTATTACCGCGATTCGTCAAACAGTAGATAGGATATAGCAAATCTCTTGGATTTCGTATCCTGTCTTATCCAATCCTATCATGGCTAGAAAATTCAGACAACCAAACGCAGTCTCTGAGTCTAAGACTGATAGTCATAAGAATTTGTAAACACATGCAACGCAAGTTCATCTCACTCAAGTGATGTATGAAGCTGCTCATATCAACAATCCGAGAGTCTATCCAAGTTTCCCGCCGGTCTTTGACTTATGTACAGATTTCCATTTGATCTTCCAAAGTACTTAGTGAATAAGACTTCACAAGTTCACCTTATGGTACATCCAAATCATCAAGAACTTCCCATTCTTCCTAACTTATTCACCCTTGTCTTCATGAGTCTTTCCACTTTGTACTTTAGGTCATATCAATGGTAATAGAGCTTGCTTTATATCAATGCCACTTGAAACAAAACAACATATGCATTTATTGATTAATAACAAGTAAATGGTTTTGTCAATTTCAAAATATCATCAGTAGTTTTCTCAATATAATTTGTGTTATAGTTGTCGAGTTCTATCTTCACTAAAGAATAAAAAAAAGAATGGTTTAAGATGCACATTAGCACCCGCGTATGTTCATAATTATTTTGCCGGGTATTCCCACTGTATTCGATATATTTGTGCCTCCATTTTGTGTTTCTGTTTGGTCCGGACTTCGTTTACCTTGAGATGGTGCGATCTACAATTTCATGTACTTGGTTGTGCCAAAATATTATTTAAGGAATAAGGGCCTGATGCAACTTTGTAAATCCTGAGATGGGGCTTAATAAAGTGAAAGAGATTGATTGACATCTTTCAACTTAGGAAAGAAATAATTCAAATGGTTGGACAGCCAATCAATGATTTTGGACAATTATCCCTCTACATGTAGAAGATCTCGAAACTGTATCTTTAGAGTTTGGACAACTGGTACACGATGGCTTGTTCCACTGATTTCTATCCATATAAGACAAGTTTCACCAAGACAAAACAATAAGAACAGAGCAAGAAAGTAATGCAAACAAGAAGAAGCAATGAGAGATATAATGGCACTGATGTTTCCATCATCGGCCATGGAATCAACCAAAAAGAGATTTTGGTGTGCTTTTTCTGACACTGACAGTCATCGAATCCTAGATTAGTACAGGCAAAGCAACGAGACAGAATGAAGTCTCCAATGATTAGTATAAAAATGATGACTCCACTGGATGCTGATTCGATAGATCCTCATGAGCTATAAAGCGCGATGATGAATCCTCCTTCAAATGAAAACAGTCTTGTCACTGCATTTGCCATACTTTATGTAACATCGTGGCATATGTAATATCACTAAATAATTGAGCAATTACTACGACAATCGTAAAAGACGTTAAAACTCTCCAAATCGACAATATTTTAGGAAGGAACTTTGGGGCGAATCCATGGAGCTTTCTACTTTATGTACGGTGTCAAAACTTTATGAATGATTCATCCAATGACAAAATTGATGAAGAATCGCTTTTGTGCTCTAGTTTTTCAAAAGTGCTCATTCAAACGACTTCAGCGAGTTTTATTACCGGAGAATGTCGTGTCGATTTTCCTAATTAGTTAAGTTGTTGGATAAGTCGCTTAAGTGTATGTTTTTAAAATGTGTGACGATTAAATAATCGATTGCAAAGTTTTGACACCAAACTAAATGCCGTACAATAATTATGACACCGATATTGTCCTCATCACTAAAGTGTATATGGAGGATAATCCAAAAATGGGTGGAAGAGAAATGTGAGTAATTAAACTCAAGATTTCATGGTTCCAATATTGAATGAAATTTTAGTGGAGTTGGCAAAATGAGTTCGAAACCCATTTTGTAACTCAATATTTAATGGGTTAGGTCATAAATTGGTCGTTTAAAATTTTAAAAGCTGTTCAAATGGGTTAAAAAATAAATGCCCAATTACATGTGAGTCTTAATGGATCGGAAACATTTGCATTTCAAACCTATCTTTAGTGCAGCATAATTACCCATCTCAAGGATCGCATGTGTACTTGAACTTTTGCTGATGAGTCCATTATATTCCAATAGATGCGCCAATGAGATTGTAGATTACAGGGGCCCGTAGAAATTTACCACTGTCGCTTGTGAGGCCCGGGAATAATTATTTGACTAAAATTGCTTCAGGGGCTAATAAGACTTAGGGGTATGAATAAAATTGCATGTGCAATAAATAGTGATTTGTTGGTGAAGACCGATTATTTTTCAATTTTTAGGTTTGTTGTTTTATTTACTAAAATCTTTTTATTCTGTTGATGTACTTTTTTAATTTGATGTAAAATTTTATCCAAGTAATATATTCACATAGAGATCTTAAAATGGATTAAATGAGTGGGTCTGAGCTTTGATAATTTGGGTTAAATATAGACGTGTTTTAGTAATATGGGTTGAGTTGAGGTCGAGAAGAACATGAACCGAGATGGGGGAGAGAGAGGTACAAATGGAAGGCCACTGTGGCCGACCGATGTCTGGAAGCAAATCGATTCACGAGAGCGAGGGCATTGCTCGTCACTCGGGCAAGATCCACCACCCTTCACCTCACTGCCATTTTCAAGCCCTCATAACTTGACCACTGGATTGTCCACTAGTATTCTTGTTCGTTAGCATGGTGCTGACCAACATCTTCACGTTGCTTATGTGCCTTGCGAAGTCCAATTCGAGCACTTGAGCTCTCTCGCAACTTGGCGGACCGGTCCATGGAGTCGCGCAATTTAAGAGGTAACAATTTAAGGAGAAAAATGCTAAGAATTGGAGCCCTAGTTGAGTCGGGAATGGGTTGAACCCGGGTCAAGCATGGGTATGGGTCGCAAGAATTGTATTGCGTAAATATAAATTAATTTGGGCCGAACAACTTTCGATCCAACCCAATTAATTTAAATTGTTTGACGGACTTTAATTTAAGTACCCAATTATCTTATTTGAAAAGTTTACGATCTCATGTAGCCTAGTTGCTGAAATAAAATCAAGTCTAGTTTGCCATTTCAAAATTCAATTTGCGACCGTTATCATCAAAATCTCTTTTCATTTATAAAATTTACTTTCAAAATTTGCGTAGCTCATTGCTCGTTTCAAAGATCAAGCCATTAAAGAATTGCATTCTATACATTCGTTACGTGGATAACTAAACTCATGACCTCGTAACTCTAATGCTATATATATTAAAATGAACGTGGTGGGAATAATTAAAGTGTGATGGAACCCACCATATATATATTTAATGTTTTCAATTTGGTGGAGAGTTGGTAGGTAAGCTTCTTTTTGTCATCGTTATCTTCTCTTTTCTTTTTTGTACTAGAGTTAATAGGTGAATTTTTAGGCTGTTTTTGTTTAAAAATAAATCTTTGATCACTATTAAAAACACTTGCTATTGTTCTTTTTTTTTTTTTTTCAATTTTAAAACTAAAATTAGTTTTTTGATTTTGCATTTAGCCATTAAACAAAAATTCTTCAAAGGTATAATATGTCCATGTTGTCGCTTCTAAATTACAAAAAGTTAGAAATGACAATTTTCTTTTTCCGAAAAACTTGAAAATTATCATTACTTGATACTCTACACTCTGGACTGTATGAAATGATTACGTGCAATATCTTATCATTGATTTGTTTAACTAAATATGAAAGCTATATATGTGATAATATACTATAAATTGATATACATACTGTCTTTCAAAAAAAATTTCGTATGAAAATTGAGATTATGAATAGTGAATTTGATAAAATGTTTGATATATCACTTAAAAGGCAATAACTCTTTACAACAGTGTTGTCGTCAATTTTACCTAGCAAGAAATTAGTGTAGAATTAACATGCCGCTCAATAAGTGAAAATATGTACTGTAGAATTAATATGCCGACTTTTGTGGGCAATTTTTAATCTTCTTTAATGAGATATTTAGAACTATCCCTTAATAATTTAACTCAAAATGTTGGTATCTAACTATGGAGCCCTCAAGCACGGGTAAACAAACTAGTGTATTTTAAAAAGAAAATTTGATCAATTAAGTATATCTAATTCTTTTGAGCGTGAAATGGTATCAATAAGTCAGATCTGTTCATGTGACCTAACCAATCCCATTTTCAATGGGCTTCGTTTAACCCCATTTTTAATTGCTTTAGAGTGAAAACGAAATAAAAATAACTAATATCAACTTTAACTAAAAGTATCTATGTAATTTTTCATTTTGTATCCTTCATATGTTTTATGTACATTCTAGAGATAGGATATTTCGTTATTTTTTATGTTTTAACATCTCCTGCATTGCGCGGGTTCATTTCTAATAGGATTAGTACCACGAAAAACTCCAAACTGGTACGCCCATGACAATTTTACTCTAAACGAATTTTTTGACCACCAAAAACCCTAAACTTGTATACATGTGACAAATTTACCCTCAGTTTATTTCCGTTGAATTTTACTGTCAAATTGCTTTGTTAAATGACACGCGGCAATTGACGGATGTATCAATTTTATGTTTTACCTTCCGTTTGTCACAAGCGTACCGGTTTATGATTTTTTGTGATATTAATTCAATTTAATGGAAACTAACGGAGGGTAAATTTGTTACAAATGTACCAGTTCGGAGTTTTTGGTTGTAAAAAAATTAGTTTTTGGTAAAATTGTCGCGGATGGACCAATTTGGGGATTTTCGTGGTATTAACCATTTCTAATATCATGACAATTCGAATGCTCGATTGTCTCTTTCAAAAGCTTAAACTCAGAAAAAAAACGAACTATGTGACTAGTCGTTCGAGATGAAACCGGGTCGAACCGGCGGTTCACGGCGGTTAAACCGGCCCAACCAACCTCCAGTCGGCGAGTACAAGAGAATCGTCAAAAGGTCGGTTACGAGGAAGTTTTGTCACCGTGTCCGCCCGATTTCAGAGAGACCGTCCACTCGTGTGCGATTTCTCTCTCTGTTCGTGACATCGAAACCGGCCGAAAGAACAACGAAAGAGCAAACGAAGGAAGTCACGAATTCGCCGAGGAGGCGACGAGGGCCGACAAGTGTGAAGAAGAAGCTCAGCACAAATTTGACCAGAGAATCGCCCACCTTCATTGATTGAACCGCGAGCTTGCCGTTGGGGGGCGGAGGAGGAGGAGGAGGAGGAGAGCAGGTGACGTCCGCCCAAGCGGTCGCATTTCCTCTGGGAAGGAAAAGTTGTCCGGGCGATACCGTAAGTGGGCGGCGAAGAAGCGGTACGTGATGGATCCATCTGGGTGTGGCTCTGATATATGGTCCTACATACCAAGTGTTTGTCTTAATGCCTCAATGAACGCAAGCGAGATAGACGTACGCTATATTCAGTCTCTCAGTCGTCGCTGGAGCTCATTGCTCATGCAAGCTACGTGCTTTAGCGTGACCCGTAATAGCTATGCTGATGCTACCGTTAGTCGTGGAGCTGCTCATTATGCTGCTCCCATTATTTGTTTATGGTTTAATTTATCCGGTATTACTTGAGATACGAATAGCACGTAGTGATAGATATATTGATGGGTGTTTGATTTGCTTCATGAGAGTTCGTCTCTCTGACATTACTGCATCGATGGATATTCCCGTTTAGTCTCTGCTTAATTTTCGAAGCATGTAGCTTGAGTCATTAAGTGAAGTTTGTCAACTGGATTCACTGTGTTTGTAGATGAGGTACGTGAAACCTTTGAGCTTGTTCCAAGATGTATTGATGGCGCATACGAAGAAAAAAGGCCGCTTGCTAGGGTTGGATGTTGGCGATAAGTATGTTGGACTTGCTGTGTCGGATTCAAGTAACAAGATTGCATCACCCCTGAGGTATTGCCATTCATGCGCATTGTATCGTACTTTGGCCAAGATGAATTGTAGTATATGTCTTTATCAATTCCTGTGCGTTTTACCTCCATAGAAATTGAGCATCCGAATGCACTCTGGTGCATGGAACGTAAAGTTGTACATGGGCCAGTGAGTTTGAGATCTCCATATGATTCACGGCCACCCTTATCGAATCAGATGATTGAGTTGTGGATAATATAAACCGAAGGATGATTGCATAGATGATTGGTACAGATGTTGTTTATCTTAATGATGTTAGTATGTGCTTCACTTTGTATGGTTGCCATGTAAAAATCTGATTCGGGAAAAACGCACCATAAGTCCTAAATCTTATGTATGGAATACAATTGAATTCTAAACTTTCAATCGATTCAATCAAGTACTAAACCTTTACCAAAAAGTGCAATTGAGTTCTAAACTTTTCAATTGATTTGATTGATCCCATTCCATATGTAAGATTTAGGACTTTCGGTGTGCTCTTTCCCAATCTGATTCTATAAAGGAACTATTTTTGTTATTTGGTAGGTAGAAGGATGGAACTTGGAAGTTGTGAATATGCTGCAGCTTGTCCCTCTGGGGGACTTTTCTATTTTCTTTCTTGGGATCCTAACCTTGTCGTGGTATATGCAATTATCACCTTTGAAATGATCTTTGTTGTTGCCATAATTGCAGCGTTCTGCTTAGGAAGAAGACAAATATTGACTTGATGGCGACGGATCTTCAGAGTTTGGTAAGTCTGCCTTTCAGCCTGCTTTTGTGTTAGTATCTCCATTTCTTGGAGGAATTGTTCCTGTGGGAATTACCGTTTGGATGCGTCCTATAAAGAAGTTTTTCCAATCTAAGTGATTGGGTTGGCTGGAGCATTTTGTTTATTGTACTCGGTCTGGCTTCCAACTATGAGTATAGTTGTGCGAAGGACGCCAACAACGAGTAATTTCAGTGTTGGTTCTGCTTAAAACTTGGTATTTGTTATTGCTTATTCCCTAAATTAGTATCTATAATTTCTTGCCTCATTTGTTCCTATCTAAAAGAGGGGATATTGCTATTGTGTTATGTTTACTTGGGCTAGAATCATCAGACCTGGTATCTCAATTAGATCAGACCTTAGGATTTAGGGGCTAATTCCATAAGAAACTCTCAATTTTAGGTCCAATCCCAATTCTGGCCCAAACTTTTTTGTCTAAAAAAAATCCCCAGCTTTAACTTCAATCCCAAATATGCCCACGCTTCCAAAAATCACCATTGGCTTCTTCAAGATTATCAACATCAGAGACTGTTGTTGTTCCATGCGAAGGTGAGGGTGTTGATGAAGATACAAATTTGGATAACGAACCTCTAATTGGCCCTGATGTAGATAATATTAAAGAAACTAGTGTTGATTTTTGGACGCATGGGTAGATTTGGGGCTATAGTGAAATTTGAGGATTTTTTTTAGACAAAAAAAAGTGCAGGACAGAATTGAGATTGGACCTAAGTTGGCGATTTTTTAGGGAGTTAGGCCAGGTTTTGGTCAATTATCTTATTGTTTCTCAGTATCGGATCACAATATCCTTACTGAATGGGTACGTGCAATCTGCATGGTCTTGGAAATGTTCCTACCGGGGCCTGATTGGTTCCTGTTTCCTTGGATATATGCAGGTCTCTGAATTCTCACTACTTGGATTTGTGGTCGGCTGCCCTCTTGACCGGTTTCGTAGTAGCAATCCTGGTGTATGTCTCCTTTAAACCATTATTTTCTATAACTTTTCTGACATGCTACATATAAATTTCTCAATCCTTTTTGTTGTCTGTAATCAGGTTGTGCAAATGAAGCGTTTTATTGATGAGCTTTCTAAAACAGGAAAACTTGAAGGTGTTTGTTATACGTATTGGGAAGAAAGCTTTACATCCAAGGTGCAACTTGTTTTCCCCCCTCTTTCAAAATCTTAGCCTGATGTCCTGTTTCTTTACTAAGGTATTATGTATTATGCACAATATTAGCTCAATAAAGTGGCCCCTTACCTTTCTTTGTTTCATCCAATCTTTAAGGTCCGAATTATGATAGTAGAAGCAACAGCATGAACAGTGAATAATTCTTCAGTTTGTAAGGCTTAATTTTTATATCCTCTAGTATATGTCCCACATAATTCAAAGTGCTCGCAAAGCTGCCAATTTGAAAACCAATGCGTAAGCCCTATGTGGACTAAATAACGCTTCTACTTAAAAGTTCTGCTGCATTACATATTGACGGCAGTTCCCTCATCAAGACTCATTTCCATACTTTCCCATTTGGGCTTCCAGCAATACTAGCTTGTGTTCTTGAGTGGTCCATACTCCAGTGGCAGTCCCCAGTGTTCACCTATGGAAAGCTAAATTCAACTCCTTTTCGCAAAGGAGTATCTTGTTGTTATGTTTAAATAATCATGGGGCGCTAATGCATGTCCATTTACAGAATGTGGAATTGTTGTTACAACCTTTGACGTTGCATCCAGTAGCAGCGAAGACAATAGTGGACAAGTTCGCTGCTATGGGGATACTCCAGGTAATTAGCATTAGCTTTTCACATCTTCCTGGGAAAAAGTAGCTCATCCCCCTTTATTGTTTTTGCTAGTTGTAGATCACCGTTTCATGATTAAGTACGCAAGTCTCAAGGTTGAAGGTTTTCTTTAGGATAGAAATGAAAAATGGGACTCGGCTGATTTACAGGCTTTCCTCCACTCTCAACTCTCAAGCATTGTTGGTGAATAGCAATTAGCAATACCTCTAGTCTGTAACAAATAGAAGGAAAAGGGCGAGATGGATTTTCACTTATTGTTCTGCACTCATTTCTTATTGAAGATAAGTAACATTCAGTGTGCGAACTTTCTATTTCGAGACCACCATCATCTGTTGCTGAACGCCACTTTTGTTTTGGGCAGGGATATTTGGATTATGCCAACAAGAAGCAGAGATCGGAGTCTTCTGAATAGGACATATGCGAGAACTGTGGAGGCTTTCTCATTCTCAGAGGTTATCTTGCATGTAACCCGCAAATTGCGATGGTAAAAATGCAGTGCCATTACCGCCTGTTGCTAACGCACCATAAAGAGTTTTAAGAGGGATGAGTAGAACGAGTTTTGGCAATTTTTGGTTCGTATGTTGAGAGGAAAAGCACAGGAGGGTTTCAATTGATTGCTCTCTCTTTCTCTCTCAGAGGTTACACAAGACCATCTAACAAGTGAATAAGTGAGATTAATTTGATTCATTTTTAAGCTTGTAGTCCCTCTCCCTCTCTCTCTCTCTCTCTCTCTCCACCATAACACTCAGCATCAGCAAAAGCCTTCACTTGCCATGAACTGATGACGATCTTGTAAATGCAAAGAAAGTTCTTTCCTACACTTACATCGATGACCCTCTAGTCGACGCATCTCTTTGTTCGAGTATGATCTTATTAATGTAACTTTGATAACCGGCGGCACTTCATTAATCAAGTCATTTTACGTGATTATTGAGTAGAGAGAAGTAAGCTAAACAGTTTCGTGGTCAAATCACATCAGAGATTCAACGGTTAAGAAAACCATCTTCCAGTGAATACACCCACAACATCACAAACAGAAAAGGAACCTACTCTCTGTACCAAGACTTGTCTACTCGAACGGTCAAAACCTCATCTAACTTTAGCGCCATGTATCACTCATTCAAAGCTTTTTCCGCCAGAGAAATAATCAACCATCTAATAGAATCGTCGCACCCGACTAGTAGAACTTGTTACACCCACGGTAATGATCGCCTTTAGTTTTCTAAACGATTTCATACGGCAGTAAGAAACCGGAAGCTGGATTTATTGACAAGCACACATTCTTTTTACATTATTAACGCAGTAAAAGTTCCAACAACATAACATGAGAAGAAGACATCTAGATGTATCCTCATGATGAGTCAAGAGGATGCTTATTTTTCAGATTACTTCTCATCCTTACTGGGGAGAAGAAGTTCCAGTGCTCAGGCCACCCCCAACAGTTTCTTGATGTCCTTCTGCGTTAATAACAACAGCGATGCCTCAGTTGAATAGCCAAAGAAAATAATGAACTTCTACTATGATTGTCAACGATTAGACTCTCACCTCAATGCTAAGAGGAGAAGTAGTGGGCGCATAGCGATCAACGACATTTCCTTCTTTATCGATGAGGAACTTGGAGAAGTTCCACTTAATGTTATCCCCAAAGAGTCCGCCCTTGCTTGATTTCAGGAACTTGTAGAGAGGAGCGGCATTATCACCATTCACATCAACCTACAGAAAAAGCAATCAGATTCTTCATCCTCACGTTTTTTTGACTCAAACTGCAAATTACCAGTCACTAGGAAATGTAAGGGAACTGCAGATACTACTCCAAAAAGACTTTCCAGAGAACTTAAGTAGTCCACAATACGTTCTTCATCTTCAGAGAAGGACCTCATGTATTTGTTTTACCTTATCGAAAATGGGATATTCAGCCTTGAATCGGGTGCAAGCAAATTGTACGATCTCCTCATTTGTCCCCGGCTCCTGAGCTCCAAACTGGTTGCACGGGAATGCTAATATCTCCAAACCTGCATCGCATTAGAGTGACATCCTCTTTAAGTTTTCTAGAATCTCCATAACCTAAGTGATACCAATAACCAATTGTCGTTTCTGATATGATATATGTTTATTATCCTGTTAAGGCCAGTATTCCACTCAAACATGAGATACGATGGGACATCAGGACCGGGGGAGGGCATAGGAGACCTTGATTCTTGTATTTCTCGTAGACCTGACTGAGTTCGGTGTAATTTGAGTTGGTCAGTCCACTGCAACAAACAACATACCATTAAAAAAATTAGAACACGGTGGACCAACCCGATCACTAAAACACTGACCTACTCCCAAACTGAACTGCATAAACAATTCCCAATGACAAAGGCATGAAATATGATATCGCTTTTAAGCAGATCACCCAAGATTAAAGTCCAAGAAGATGTTTCCTGTTACAGGGCATAAACACAGTCCCGAGAATTACCACTGCGAAGCAACGTTGACAATCAGCAAGACCTTGCCCTTGTAGCTACTGAGATCAACATCATTTCCCCGAGCATCCTGAATACAAAAAGGAACCCGAGTTCTCAAATAATTCATAACCTCTTAGCACACGGCACGAAACCATAATGCCTTCTGCGGTTTTCCGCGCAGATTGATATGTACTGTTTCTTTGGTTAGCAGTGTCTAGCGACACATGATTTCGCTCCCTGACCAACTCAATTTGAATCAACAGAATCTGATATTTGCGCGAATTACACGGATAAGAGGTAAACATATATATCAAAGGTGCAGTAGATTGATTCATTTTCAGATTAACCATCTAAACTATTCAAAAACTTTGAAAAGCAGGTCACAGAAAAGCTTTGCAAAAGGCCACAGCTTTACATAGATGACAAAGGAGTTTCAACACCAATTGAATAAAAATATCATCTTTCTGAGCTAAAAAATTGCAGCGTTGCTGTGGATATAGAAATACAAAATCTTCGGTCAGAAATGATTAAAAGAGGCGAACTTTATAACATAGGTTAACAATTCGGCTGAGGGGCGACTCCCCGATTCATAATTTCTCCCCCGAAATTGCCAAAAACAGTAAAACCTCAGGAGAGAGAGAGAGAGAGAGAGAGAGAGAGAGAGAGGACTGACCTTCACGGTGAAGTCGTAGATCGACCCCTTCGAGGATTGGCTCGCCATGGCACGGCCCGATCTCCGATCACGCGAGACGAAGCTCCGACGACAACAGGGCGAGGGCGAGGAACCGAAAGGCGGCGACTTGATCGACGAACCGGACTCGGGGAAGAACGGCGGCGAGATCGAGCGAGAGAAGAGAAGGGTTTGCTCGGGGACCGGAGGGGAGAAGGGATTGGGAAGAGGCAGAGCAGAAGAAGCAGGGGAAGAAGAAGAGGCGAGAGCTGCGCTGAGGCTTCTGCAACGAAGGAGCAGAGGTTTTGTAGAAGAAGAACAGAGCATCTGCGGTCAAAAACTGCCCCCTGTCGCGAGATTCTTCAGCCGACCTCACGTCCTCCTGTAGCGTTATATAGTTCCGCTTGTGCGGGGGTCGCGAGGATGACGATCACACGTGGCGGGCGCCGAGTCGCCCACGTGGACGTTCTGCTTGAGTGGGACGTGGATGCTCGATCCGCCGTTCGCGTGGGACCCTTTTTCTGTTTCATTTTTCCAATTTTGTAAAATTTGTACAAAATTCAATTTGAATATATTTTATTTATGGGGAAAATGACATGAATGATCTACGAACTTTTGCCAAATGTATAATGTGGCCCCTGAAATTTTAATTTGTTCACTATGGTATTTGAACTTTTGTTAAATATTTTATTCTAGTCTCACAACTATATAAAGATATTCATTGTTGTCCTTCCAAAAATTCAAGTTCAGAAATAATATTGAAAATTTTCATATAGTCCATGGACTCGATTAAACATCTACCAAAAGTTTGAGGAACCATATCGAACAAATTAAAAGTCGAGGGATGATATTGCATGTTAAGCTAAAGTTCAAGGATAACATTGAACAAATTAAAAGTTCAGGGACCGAATTACACATTGGACCAAAATTTATGGACAATTTGTGTAATTATTCCTTATTTATACCACTTGAAGTGATTTTAGATGATAAAATCATCGGATGACGAAGCTAATAGAAAGCATGAGGATATAGTTTGAAATTCGGTTTATAATTGAAGAGCTTCAATCATGTAAATTACTCACACTTGCTCTAGATGATGTTTACGGAAGTATTCAATCTTTAGCAAATACCGAATAGAATAGTTTGTTTAACCACTAAATTCATAATTACTCATCAACGATAATGACATCGTCCTGAACAAAAAGCGCTGTAGATTACGCGACGTATGAACGGTCAGTCATTTGTATATTCCCAATCGTTTTCATTTTTTGCACTAATGTATTGCTAGTCATAGGATCGGTCACCCATTTTGCATCAAGAGCATGGACCACCTTCAACATGTATTGGTACTATGGGGGAAACAGCCCAATGCTACAAGGAAGTATTTAAACTGGTTTTCACGGGGACAAAGACTCGATCTTGTTTCGTTTCAGAGAATCGTGGTTCAGGAAGGGGGACCATATTAATCTCATGAGGCCGATGTCTATGGAATCAAGCAGGCATTGGAATCTCCAAGTGAGGAGGTTTGGAATATTACAGGGCAAGATGCTCCAAGATCATGAGTCTTGTTGTTACACTAGGGCCAAGCTGTAGAAGGTATTGCAAGAGAGCACGATGCGGAGGCAAAAATACAAGGTACTTTATTGCTTCGTCTGGCTTTTCTAGAAGCGATAACAATTTATGGATGGGATTGAGCGTTAACGCTTTTATTTGCAAATCCTTTTGTGTAATTCGATATATATAAAAAAAAAAGCGTATTTTTTTTCTTATTTTTTAATGGCCGGGGCTTGCTCCTTGTTTTTTCGAATTCTTCTTGTTGATCAGCCATTTCGGGTTAAGAAGATTTGAAAACGCCTTTCTCCTTGTAATAATGGTGCGTTCCGAGGTGTGAAATGGGAGAGAAGGGATTTCATAATTGGGGTTTTAAATAAAATGGCATCTTCTTTTTTTTTTTTTTTTTTTCTTTTTCAATAAATATAAAAAAGTAGTAATAAAAATGAGAGATGTTAAGCTTTCCAATTCTCCCTTTGGGGCTTCAACTCTTACATAAAATTCTTGCTTTGGCAATTCAAAAGCAGGAGAAGGTTTAGTAGGTAGAGTCTTTGGAACAACAATTGGTACTTTTATTACATTAGCTAAAACTTATTTGTTCTTAACTAATAAAAAAGAATAAAGTAATAAAATATGAAATATAGAATAGGACAGTAGTTTAATACATTGATTTTTTCAACTTGCGAACAAGATCCAAGAATAAGATTAGTTGATCGACCAAGAGGAGGAAGTCTGTGGATCAAAGAAAAAGTAAGTAGACCTAGCCCATTGAATCGTGACTATATCCACTGTTATGATATTCAGATTGGATATAGATTAGATTGTAAGAGTGGATCTATTTTTATTTCCTATTTGTTTGGACTCGGTAAGAATCTGTCGATATTTCCGATATCATTTTTTTGTTCCTTGGATATTGAAGAGCAATAAATTGATATTTCGTTCCTTCACAGAGAAAAGGTTTATTCAAAGTCACAATGGGTGATCGGTTTCAGAATGAGTCGGTTCCTACCCTAGAATCAGAAACCGAATTAGAAGAGTCGGTTCTCAGTTTGTAGAATCAGCCCACCTAGTCCTAGAATCGGTCCGATTTGGTGCCGGAGTGGTCCTAGAAACAGTCATGATTTCTTTCTTCTGTTTTTTCCTTCCTATTCTCTAGTAGGGAAAGGAATGGAATGCTGGAACCGAACAAAGGGATTGGAAAAGACGTTGAATGAAACGCTCTTGCATAGTGCAAGTGTGTCTCTGAACGTTGCTTCCGCTCTCTTCTCCGGCCATTTGACAATAAAAAAAACTATCAATCTGGTCCAAGTGGTTCGGTCCACACCTGGAACCGAAACTAGACCGATTATCATCGATTCCAAATTTTATGAATTGGGAATCGGCCAGTTCAGTCCAGTTTGTTCCTGTTTTTGTGCTCACCTCTATTACCAACCAGTTCAGTACCCTGATCCAAATCGAGCTTCCTTGTCTCCTAGATCAAACTTCTGCTTCTTCTGTTGCTGATGCCACTCGTGATTTGCGCGGACCTGATCGAGCTGCCGGTTCGACCGTCATAATACCGAGTTTCGCTAATCTATCCGTCGCCACATTTTCTCAACGCAAATGGGTGACTGAACACCGTGCACTTTTTCTTGAGAGCTTGGACCTAAAACTTTCCGCTGGCCCTGGCCCTGGCCCCTCTTTCCTCGTTCACTCCTTTGCTCTGCAATTTTGATGTTTTTTAACATTTTCAAGGTGGTGCAGATAGCTTTTAGAACTATGGTAAGAATCAGAATCAGAAGAGGCCAACAACAACAACAAAGCAGCTATTTATTCACATTGAGATCTCAAAGACGACACCTTTCACTACTCAATACACACTGAATCTTCATAGGAATCCCAAACAACACTCCCACATACATACAATTACATCCAACTGACTAATTTCACCCAAATGAACAGGCTGCAAAATTTATTCTTGAACAGATTCATCCCTAGATATGCATCAACTAGACATCTTGGTGCATCATCAGTTCACTGTTATACCCTGTATCTGCAGGTTGTCGAGCGGCCTTGGCCTCCTGTACTTCTTCAGCAACAGCGAACAGCAGACGACGCTGACCGACGACGCGGCCATTGCGGCGCCAGCGATCCAAGGAGGCAGGCGAAACCCCGTGGAAGGGAAGAGAGCCCCAGCAGCAATCGGGATTCCCAGGACATTGTAGCCCAGCGCCCAGATGTAGTTCAGGCGGATCCTGGAGAACGTTGTCCGGGAGAGGTCGATCGCGGTTATGACGTCCTCCAAGTTGCTCTTCATGAGCACAATGTCCGCCGCCTCGATGGCTATGTCCGTGCCCGCGCCGATCGCCATCCCCACATCCGCGGCCACGAGTGCTGGCGAGTCGTTGATGCCGTCTCCCACCATTGCTACAATGTATCCTGAAGCCTGCGGATTTTAAAGATTGTTGTTGAAAGCAAACAATATTACACTCAAAACCTGCTTGGAAAAAAGTCCCTAGTTATTTGATTGAATTTTTTCTATTTAGGGATGAAAATAACATGTTCAGTCACCTGCAAATCCTTCACTTTCTCTGCCTTCTGCTCAGGCTTGGCCTCTGCTATCACAGTGTCGATCCCGACGTCCTTGGCGATGGAATTTGCAGTCCCCCAGTTATCGCCAGTCACCATGATGCTCTTCACTTTCATCGAATTGAGGATCGATATCACCTCCCGAGCGCCCGGTTTCAGCGGATCTGAAATCGCAATGACTCCAATCAGTTCCCGGTCTATGGACACCAGTATCCCAGTCTGCGCCATCCCTTCGGTCTCGGCCAGGATCTCTTCTGCTTCGATTGGAATGGCAATGTTGTGCTCTAAAATCAGGCTCTTGTTTCCAACAATTATCTCCTTGTTACGAACCACGGCCTTCACTCCGTGGCCAGGGACCGAGACGAAGTCGCTGGCTTCAGGCCAGGCGGGATTGTCCTCATCTTCCCTAAACTTTTTGGCATACTCGACGGCAGCCTTGGCTAATGGATGTTCGCTATTCACCTAATACACATCTGTTAGTTTGACGGGTCTTTGAAGGCTTAGTTAAGACAAAGAAGCCTTCGCAAAAAATAGAAAACCGGAAAAATGGGAGGATTCATACCTCAGTTGCAGCAACCAGTTCATAAAAGTCTCTCAGCACCAGGTTTTTTAGGAGTCTTGTGTTGACCACCACGGGCTTTCCGGTCGTGAGCGTCCCCGTCTTGTCGAACACTATGCAATTAACCTGCCATTTCGAGGAAGCAGAAGAGTTAAAGAAAAGGGTTTGAGATGTGAATTACCACAAGAGACAGTAGACGCAATCGATCAATTCAAACAAGTTCCGGAGAAGTGTAACATATGACATAAGATCTGCAACTTTTACTAAAATTTTTACCGAGTGAGTTTATCTCTTTACACAATCAGAAGAGAGATGACAGAATAGAAGATAAGATTTTATATCTGGCAACGTTCTACATCTCAAGTTGCTAAAATACTACACAAAAATCATTAAAAGGACCTAAGGTTGTTTAGCATTATCTAGGACTATGGTCGGAATTTAAAAGCACGAAAAGGTTATTGGATGCGAACCTTGTGTGCACTTTCCAGTGCTTGTCCTCCTTTAATGAGGACTCCTTGAGATGCGCCGACTCCGGTCCCGACCATCACTGCGGTTGGAGTCGCAAGCCCTAGTGCGCAGGGGCAGGCGATCACCATCACTGATATCCCAAACTGGAGAGCGAGCTGAAAGCTGTCCATGGAGTACGGAATCCAGGATTTTGGGTAGGCATGGAACTTTGC